AGCCCTCGTGGCGGAGCGATTCTCGACCTTTTGCCAGATAATTTTTTTGCCAGCTCGAACACGAGCCGACACAAACTCTTGAGATTCAGTGAAGTGATCAACGTACATCTAGACACGCCCATAGGAAATTAATTAATAAAGATCAATCATCGAATTCCGGCCGGCGGAGCCAGAGTCATTAGTCCTCCATAGAGGCTGTGCGTCGACCGCGCGCGCGGGCGCGGTGTCGCGGAGGTCCGCGGGCTGAAATCACGGCCAAAATTGGTTAAATGGTCGTATCAAAGCAAGCTTGATGATACTCACGCGTTGATTGCACGTTTGCGAAGACTTTTTGCGCGCGGTCGCTGGTTCGGGTCAAGAAATCGCAAGATTTAACTTCAACAAAAGTGCTGAAGTTCAACAAAAATGTTGACTTTTAAATCCAGGCTATCAGAATCCGAGTTTTGATCACTTCACTGTTGAGATTTAGCCCTGGGAGGATGGACGCCTCAATTGGCGCCTCTTGGAGCTCCTTGGGCTAGCGCCAGCCACGGGCCGCGGCGACGAGGCCCACGAGTGTCTTCCTTTTGTTCGACATAAGCCAATCGTGGACCCGAGGGCCGCGGTGGAGCGGGGACGCCGCGGCGGCGGCGACAGGCTCGCGAGAAACCCACGCAGCCCGCGCTCGGCGCCGGACGAGCGTCGCCACGAATGTCGCGTTGGTAGTCCCCGGCGAGGCGAGTACTCGCTACCGAAGCTCGTCCGTGTCCTTGCGCGATTGAAAGTCCACTGCAAGCCTACTGCAAACAGCGAGAGCTGCCTGCGATGGCTGAGCAAACCGGCGCTCGGTGCGGCGCCGACGCAGCCAGCGACGACGACGCGCGCGCGACGGCGGCGCGACACCTCGCCCTCGCGCGCGAGTGCGGCGCCGTCGTCGTCGCACCGCAGCACACGGCCGCCGTCGGCGAAGCTCTCGAGGCCTGCGGCCTGCGGCGCCGCGGCAAGAACACGACGACCCTCGACGACGGGCGGCGCTGCGTGCACGCGACGGCCGCCGGCGCGGCGACGCTGCGCGCGGCGGCGGCGCGGGGCTGGGACGGCCTGCCGGCGCCGCTCGCGGCCGCGCTCCGCGGCGCGCGCGCGGAGTACGCCGCGGGCCTCCGCGTCGGCTCCGCGCGCTGCGGCGGCCCGCGGGGCGCGCAGTGCACGAGCGCGCTCCACGCGAAGCGCTTCGCGCCGCGCGGGACCTGGCCCCAGCCCGCGGCGACGTTCACGTTCAGCGAGCTCTTCGCGGGCGTCGGCGGCTTCGGCGTCGCGCTCCGCGCGCTCGGCGGCCGGTGCGTCTTCGCGTCGGAGGTCGACGTCCAGGCCTGCGGCACCTACGCGGCGAACTTCGGGGAGGTGCCGTCGGGGGACATCACGGAGATCGACGAGCGCGACGTGCCGCCGCACGACGTGCTCACCGCGGGCTTCCCCTGTTCGCGGCCGCGCGGACGTCGAATCTTCCACCCGACTTTCATGGGAGCGTCTGCGACGGGTTCGATGCGAGCGCTTCTGCCGTGCTTCGAAGGCGTGACGAGAGCCATCGATTCGTCCAAACATCAGCCGAATCGACGTCGATTCGAACGAGAGAGAGCGTTCCGAAGTTTGGCGGGGACCCCCGAAACCGGCGGTCGATGTCCGCGCAGGCCAGCGGTTCTCGCGCTGCGGCGACGGCGGCGGCTTCGCGGTCGACGCGCTCTTCTTCCACGTCGTCCGCGTCCTCGTGGCCGCGAGGCCCCGGGGCTTCCTCCTGGAGAACGTCGCCGAGTTCGCGGCGCACGACGGCGGCTTCACGCGGCGCGTCGCGGTCGGGGCAGCAAAAGGGCGATTCAACGTCGCTTCAACGTGAGTGTTCCGCGCGCGCGCGTTTCGGAAACAGCACCCACGCTTCGAGAGCGCTCCGAGAGATGATCGCTCGTCCAAAAATCAGCCGAAACGAGGGGAAAACGGCCGAGAGAGGAGCCTTTGAAGTTGGGAATGTCGCTCTCTTTTGCTGCCCAGGTCGCGGTCGCGGCGCTCGAGGCCGCGGGCTACGCGACGACGTGGCGCGTCGTCGACGCGCTGGCCCTGCTGCCGCAGCACCGGGACCGCTGCTACCTCGTCGGCGTCCGGAGGGACGCGGGCGCCGGGGCCTACGCGTGGCCGCCGCTGCCGCGCGTCCGCGGCAGGTGCGCGGCGGCGGGCGCCTTCGGCCGCCGCTGCCCCTGCCGGCGCGTCGACGGCGGCGTCGGGCCCGTCGCCCTGCGCCACGCGCTCGACGGTGTGGACATCGACCGCTGGTCTGCCCCCCACCAAACTTCAGGACTCTCGAGCTCGGTCACATCGACGTCGATTCGGCTGATTTTTGGACGCATCGACGGCGCTCGTCGAGGTCTCGAAGCGCGGCGAAAGAGTCCGGTCCGAACCGTTCGAGTACGCGCACATTGAAGTCGGGTGGAAGATTCGAGTTCCACACAGGTGCTCGAGGCCGACCCGCCGGCCGACTGCGCGCTCAGCGCCAACCAGTGGGCGAACGTCGCGCGGCGCGGCGACGGCGCGGCGGACGTCGCCGCGCGGCGCCTCTGCTGGCCCGACGGCGCGGCGCGGACGCTCATGGCCAACTACAAGCGGGGCTACGCCATGTACAGCGAGTTCGTGCCCTCGAAAGACGGCCCGCCGCGCTTCTACACGCGCCGCGGGCCGCGGCGGCGGCGGCAACGCGGACGCGAACGTCGTCTACGCGCAGCTCGGCAACGCCGTCTGCCCGCCCGTCGTCTGCGCCATCGCCGCGCCCCTGCTCCGCGCCGTCCTCGGGCCGGGCCCGGCCTGGCCCGACGGGGCCCTCGCGCCCGCCGTCTTCGACCTCCTCCGCGCCGCGGGCCAGGCCCTCGGCGCGGCGCCGGCGCCCTGCGCGCCGCGGCCCGTCGGATTCTAAGGGGGCGTCGCACCCCCGGCTCGCTTACTTCTTCGTCTTCCGCTTCTTCGCGGGCCCGGCCTCCGCGGGTCGGTGCGCGGCCCGCATGCGCGCGACGAACGCGTCGTCGAGCCGGTCGTCCTCGTCGTCGTCCTCGTCGCTGCTCGGCGCGTCGTCGTCCGCGAGGACGGCCTTGAGCGCCGGCGCGCCGTCGCGCTCGCGCTTCTTCGCCGGCGGCGCCGCCTCCTTGGGCTTCTTGACGTACCACTCGCGCGTCGCGTCGTCGTAGGCGACGCCGAGCGCCTGGAGCCGCGCGGCGATCGCGTCCGCGCGCGCGTAGTCCTTCTCCGCCTTGGCCGCGGAGCGCTCCTCGAGCCGCGCGGCGACGTCGGCCTCGTCGACGTCCGCGTGCTCCAGCGCGACGCCGCGGCCCACCTTGCGCCAGGGCTTCGACGGCGTCGGCGCCGCCGCCGGCGCTTTCGCGCCCTTCTTGCCGCCCTTCTTCTTCTTGAAGAGCTCGGCCATCGATGCGGTTCGGCGCGAACTGATCACCGCTTTCAGCAATCAGGCACAAGCACGAAGCACATCGCTTACCGCTTTTGGCTGATGTTGCCACTCTCGTTGATGTTGACGGGCTGCCCAAAAGACTCTCTCGTGCAGATGTTGGCCCTGTTTGGCTGCGCCGTGCCGGACTGCGTGACCGCGATCGTGTCGGACGCCCCGGCTGAGGTGGACACGCGCGAGACGGTGCGCGCGAACTCGCGGGCGCAGCTCAGCGACCTCTTCGAAGACGAGGCGCCGCCGCGGCTCCAGCGCAACGCGCGCACGGGCAGCACGCGGCGCATCAAGAAGAAGAAGAAGCACGCCCTGGCCCGGACCGTGAAGCACGCCGTCGAGGAGAAGGCCGCGCAGGACGGCGCGGCCTCGGAGTCGCTGGGCAAGGCGCTCTGGCGCAAGGTCCGCCGGTCGGTCGACGAGGGCGAATTCTCGCACGCCGACCCCGCGCCGCCGCCGCCGCCGCCGCCGCCGCCGCCGCCGCGGCTCAAGCCCGGCGAGAAGGAGCCCGACCTGCCGTCGCCCGAGGGCGTGCCCTGGACGATCCTCCACGAGCTCATCCCGCTGACGGGGTCCTCGTCGCGCGCGTCCGCGGCCCGGCGCCCCCCCCCGCCCCCCCGCCCCGCGCGCGCCCGACCCGCGGCGCCGGCGCAGGCACTTCGAGTCGTTCCTCGCGGCGCTCATGACGAACGGCGATCCGCGCGCGCTCATGGTCGTGTCCTCGAACGGCGGCCACGGCATCCTGAGCTACATCGCCGAGGCCCGCGCCGAAATCGACCGCCGGTCCGGGGGGTCCCCGCCACACTTCAGACCTCTCGAGCTCGGTCACATCGGACGAGCGCTGTTCTCCCGGCGAGTGCTCCACGGAGAGCACACGCACCCGCGTCGAAACCGCCGCGCGCGCGCCCGTCGAAGTCGGGTCGAGGCGTCGACGCCGCGCAGGTCGAGGCGCACGACGAGGTCGCGGCGCAGCTCATCTACGACGCCATCGGCCCGCACCACTGGCACGAGCTCGCCCACCTCGAGAACCACGGCGGCACGCACGCGCGCCACATGTCGCGCAAGGTCGGCCGGAAGACGCTCCAGAAGCTCTTCGACTCGTACCACGACGACTACGAGGCGGCGCTGGCCGAGCAGGCGGCGGCGGCGAAGCAGCGGGCCGAGGCCCGCAAGGACCGGCAGAAGCACCACGCCCCCAGCCCCCGCATGTCGCCCCGCAAAGGCGCGAGCGCGCGCAACGTCAAGCGCGGCGCGAGCAAGCGGCCCGCGAAGCAGCCGGCGCTCCACGCCTAGGCCCCGCGCGTGCGCCCTGGGTCTCGCTGGCCTCGATTCGAGGACGCGCCGTCGAAGCCGCCGAATTCGAAGGAGCTGCCGGTCGGTTGAATTAAGTGTTGAATTCGAGGGCGGTTTCAAGTTCGCCTCGGCGTATCCATATTGGTGGCTTCCGCACGCGCATTGTCCTCGGCTGCCGCCGGTCTTCTTCGCCCCCGACTGGTCCGCAGCGACTGGTCCTCCCCGGGTGCGCAGCGCCATGCCCATCCCCAACCCAAAGTACCGCGTGCCGCCGCCGGCGGCCCCCGTCCCGGTCGAAAACCCCCTGCCCCCCGCGGTGGCGGCCCCGCCGCCCCCGGCGCTCCCGCCGCCGGGCGCGGCGGCGGGCGGGGACGAGGCGTCGGAGTCGCCCTCGCCGAGCCCGCGGAAGCGGCTCCTCGAGCTCGCGGCCGCCACGGAGCCCGCGCCGCCCGCTGGCCGCAGCTTCGTCCGGAGGTTGACCGCGCACCGGCTCAAGGCGTGGGCGTCGGAGATCATCGGCGGCCGCGGCGCGACGCCGCGGACGCCGCGGACGCCGCGGACGCCGCGCGTCGTCGCCGTGGACCGCGACTTCGCCCAGCAGGGGGCGCGGGGCGGCGCGTCGTCCGGGGGCGCGCGGGGCGGCGCGCCGTCCGGGAACCGCATCTCGGGCATCGTCCGGAGCGCCAAGGCCGAGGACCGGGACCTCGCGGTCAAGATCCGCAAGGAGCTCGCGGAGTTCGACAAGGACGGCGACGGGACCATCGACAACGAGGAGCTCGTCAAGTTCATCAAGAAGCACGCCGACGCGGAGAAGAAGCTCGCGAAGGAGCGCCACGACGCGGAGCTCGAGTCGGCGAAGCAGCAGCACGAGGCCGAGCTCGAGCTGCACCGCCGGAAGAAGGCGGAGCGCAACGTCGTGCGCGTCGTCGCCGGGTCCTTCTTCCTCGTGAGCATGCTCGTCGTGGCCATCGTCGCCATCGTCGTCTCCGTCAACGCCGGCACGCAGAAGACGGTCCGCGAGTACCACTACCTCGAGACGCGCGGCGCCGCGCTCACGGACGAGCGCGGCGCGACGCTCGAGTGCGAGAACCCCTACCTGAGCGTCCAGGGCAACGGCACGGGCGGCAACGGCAGCGCGGCCGCGCTGACGACCAAGGGCGGCGCGGTCCTCGCGACGGCGTCGAGCGACTTCGCCGTCGGCGAGCGCGGCGCGATGGTCTCCAAGGCCGACGGCGCGCCGCTCACGACCAAGTCCGCGGACCTGCGCACGGACGCGGGCGTCCTCGAGACGCCCGGCGGCGCCGCCGTCGTCGCCGTCGCGGGCGGCGCGACGATGGGCGCGACGTCCGCCTACCCGCAGCTCGCGGGCGCGGACCAGGCCGGGCTCGCCGCGGAGGAGGCGGCGACGACGTCGCGCCGCCGCCGCCTCGGCGCCGCCGGCCCCGCGCGGGGCGCGCGCCGCCGGTCCCTCGTCGCGCGAGGACATCGTCGACGGAAACCACAACACGGGAGTGCAGATGGGCACGCAACAGTACCTCTTGAATGGTGATAGCCAGACGCTCGAGAACACAAAGGAAATCTTCCTGAAGCTGCCCGACGATGCAGCCTGCGTGGCGTTAGGGCAGATTGGGACGAGTGTCAAGACCGTGATCATTTCGGGCCGGGCCGGCCCCGTCAAGCTTCGTTTCCGCTACGGCCAAGACGACCCCGTGGACGCACTCTCGCGGGATGACTGGCCCGAGATCAACTGCCCGAGTTCACCCTGCCCGAGTCCAGGTCTCGTTGCTGCAGCCGACATGGCCAACAGCGACACGGGTATGCCCATCGATTGGACCATGGATTTTGGCGAAGCTAGTTTGCTTTGCTTTATTTGAACTTTTCATATCCGGGCCGCCTACGAATAACTTCCTTGGGGTTAATTGGGGGCGCTCTCCAGACGACAGCATGGAGGCCACCCTGGACCTGCTCATGGGGAAGATGGCGACGGCGACGGCGGAGCTGCGGGACATCGTCGAGCTGCGGCGGCGCCTCGGCATGGACCGGGGCGACTGCGAGTACGCGGCCTGGCGCCAGCGGCTGCGGGGCGCCCTCGACGCGCGGCCCACGAGCTCCTGGCGGCGCAAGCTGACGGTGACGCTCGAGGACCGGCGGCGGTCCCTCCACGCGTCGCGCGAGGCCGCGGCGGCGGCGCTGCGGGCCCTGGGGCGGCCTCCGGGGGGCCCCTTCGACGCGGACGCGCCGCTGAGCGCGGGCGCCGTCGACGCGGCGCGGCGGTCCGCGGCGGCCCTGGGCGCCGAGGTCGCGCGGCGCCGCGGGGACCTGCTGGCCTGGAGCGACGAGCTCCGGGCGCTCTGGCGCGACGCGCTGCCCGGCGGCGCCGCGCGGCCGCCGCCGGACGCGGCGCGGTCGCCGCTCGAGCGCCTCGCGGCGGCGCCGCGGGACCCGGCCGCGCGCGGGCTCCGCGACGCGGGCGACGGCGCCGTGCGGTCCGCCCGGGCCGCGCTCTCCAAGTGGCGCCGCGTGCGCGACGGCGCCCGCGACGGCGGCGCGCGGACGCGGCTCCAGCGGCGGCGGAGCAAACGCCTCGCGCCGCCGCTCGTCGTCGCGCTCGGCGTCGACTCGCCGCTCCTGGGCTTTTTAGGCGGCGCGGACCTCGCGCGCCTCGAGGTTTCCTGCGCGGCGGCCTGGGTCCCCGCGCCGCACCGCGGCTGGCTCGGCGCGGCGGACTTCGCCGCGCGGCGCGCGCTCGAGGCCGCGGGCCGCGGCGCGGCCGGCGCGCGGCGCTTCGACGCCGCGGCGCGGCTCCGGCGGCGGGGCGACCGGCCGGCGGGCTCCTACTGCAAACTCCTCTACGACTACGCGTCCTGCGCCTGCGTCGTGCTCCTCGTGCCCGCGGCGCGCGCCGCGGGCGGCGCCGCGGCCGACGCGCGCGTCGTCGCGAGCCCCGTGTCCTGCGGGAGCCTGCGGGCTTTGCGCTTCCGCGACCAGCCGCGCGCGCTCGACGGGGGCCTCGCCCTCAAGCACGCGCCCCGCAAGGCGCTGCCGCACCCCGTGACGACGCACAACCGGTGGTGGAGCCTCCGGCGCGTCGACGGCGCGTTCCCGCGCGACCGCGGCCACCTCCTCGAGCTCCTGGGCGCCAAGCCCGACGCCCACCTCGTCCGCGCGGAGTTCGCCCTCGACTTCCACGCCTACACCCTCGAGGTGCCCATCGCGCGGCGGTCCCTCGACGCCGTCTTCGCGAAGGCGCGCGCCGTCGTGCCCGCGTGGGCCGACGGCGCCGCGGCGCTCAAGCTCTCGCGCCTCGACCGCCCGAGCGACGCGCCGGGCCTCAAGGTCCACTACCGCGCGTCCGAGGCGCCCTTCGCCTTCAACCTCTTCCTCTCGAAGCCGCGCCTCGGCGCGTGCAAGTACCGCCTCATCGCGTCCGAGGACTCCGAGGACGACTCGGACACGGACGCCTCGGACTCCGAGGGCAGCTCCGACTCGTCCGACGGCGCCGGGGAGGACTACTGAACGGCCGCCCGCGGCCAAGTGCAGTTCGGTCGCTGTGACAGGCCTCGAAACCGGACGATGGTCTCGGGGAGTGAGGATGTTCTCGGGTCCGAGGCCGATGAGTTGCTGTAGTCCGTCGGAGTAACAGCTACCGAATGGAACTGTTCGCGGCGGCGCCGAGGAGCGCGGCGTCGAGGGCCGTCGCCGCGGCGACGGCCGCGAGGTCCGCGCCGGCGACGCGCGATATGGGGTGGATCTTCGTGTTGCGGTTGCGCGCGACGGGCGGCGCCGCCGGCGCGCCCAGCGCGTCGCCGAGCCACGCGAGCGTCGCGCCCAGCGCCTCCGTGCGCCCGACGTGGTCCGCGGCGGCGCCGAGCGACGCCGCGGCCGCCTCGCACTCGGCGCGCGTCGGCGGCGCCGCGCGGCTCGGCGACCGCCGCGAGAAGCCCATCCAGCCGTGGACGAGGTAGGCGCACTGCGGGTTCGGCCGCAGGTGCGCGATCATGCGCGCCCGCGACAGGCCCCGCGCGCACGGCCGATCCTTCGAGCTCCCGCAGTCGCACGCGCGCTCCCGCTTCTTCCCGCAGTGGTACTGGTAGCTCGAGACGACCCAGGCCACGGGGTCGCGGAGCACGGTGAAGACGACGAGGCGCACGGGGTCGAGCGCCGCCCGGAGGCGGGCCAGCGCCCCCGCGGCGACGCGCCACCTGGGCAGGAAACGGGTGCGAACTTCCCAACTTTGGAGGCTCGCATCTCGGTCGTCGTCCACTCGTTTCGGCTCATTTTTGGACGAGCGATCATCGCTCGGAGCGCTCTCGACGCGTAGATGCTGTTATCGGCACGCGCGCGCGCGGAAGACTCACGTTGAAGCGAACGTGAATCACCCTGGTCCCGCCCGGCGCGCCGCGGCGGCGGCGGGTCCGCGGACGCCATGGGCTCGTGGACCTCGACGAAGACCGTCGCGTTGTCCGGCAGCCGCTCGAAGGTCGCGTTCGCCGCGAGTTTCTCGAGGGCGGCGGCGTAGCGCGCCGCCGTCTCGCAGCGCACGTAGACGGCGGCCTTGGCGTGCAGGACCATGTACTCGTTGATCGACTCGCCGCCGGTCTTCGGCACGTGGAAGAACAGGACGACGGTCTGCGTGCGCGCCTTGCGGCCGCCGCGGACGCCGCCGTCGCGGAAGCCCGTGGGCTGCGTGATGAGGCCGTGGCACCGCAGGAGCAGGCACCAGAGGAGCCGGCTCATGTCATCGTGCCATATTAAAAGTTCACCAATTAGTTCACCGTGCTATGTTGAAGGACGCTCGAGATCTCGCTCGACGCCGCGGCGCGCGCGCGCTTCGAGATCCCGGCGGCCGCGACGCGCGCCGCGCGCACGCCGCGAGCATCGTCCTAGGCGCGGCGCCCCGCTAGGCCGACGCGTCGAGCTTCGCGTGGAAGTTGCGGAGGCGCGTGACGCCGCGGAAGCCGTGCTCGGAGAGGGAGACGCCCTTGCCCGTGTTCTTGACCCCCGTCCAGGGGAGGGCCGGGTCGAGGTAGTCGCACCGGTTCTGGAAGAACGTGCCCGTGGCGACGCGCTTCGACAGGGCGAGCGCGCGGTCGTGGTCCTTGGTGAAGACGCAGGCGCTCAGGCCGTAGGCGCTGTCGTTCATGAGCTCGACGGCGTCGTCGTCGCCGGCGACCTTGGCGACGCCGAGCACGGGGCCGAAGGACTCGTCGACCATGAGCGACATGGCGTGGTCGCAGTCGCCGAGGAGCGTTGGCGTGAAGAAGCGGCCCTTGCCCGAGGCGTCGGGCCCCGCCGCGCCGCCGGCGAGGAGCGTCGCGCCCTTGGCGACGGCGTCGTCGACCTGGCCCTGGAGGAAGGCCGGCGCGCCCGGCAGCGCGAGGGGCCCCATCGACGTCGCCGCGGCGGCCGGGTCGCCGAGCACGAACGCGTCGACCTCGGCCTTGGCCGCCGCCAGGAACTCGTCGTAGTTGGACTCGTGGACGTAGACGCGCTCGATGCCGCAGCAGGACTGGCCCGCGTTCCACATCGCGCCGTCGACGAGCCCCGCGGCCGCCGCGGCGACGTCCGCGTCCTCGGCGACGTACGCCGGGTCCTTGCCGCCGAGCTCGAGCGTCGCGTCGATGAAGCGGTGCTTCGCGACGGCGCCGTAGACCTCGCGGCCGCCGCGGACGCTCCCCGTGAAGGACACGAAGCCCACGGCCTCGCGCGCGATGACGTCCTCGACCTCGCCGTGGCCGCAGTGCAGCGCGGTCACGAGCCCCTCGGGCGCGCCCGCGGCGAGGAAGGCGCGCTCGAAGGCGTCGGCGCAGAGGGGCGTGCGCGGCGAGTGCTTGATGGCCACGGCGTTGCCCGCGAGGACGGCCGGGACCACGCAGTTCACCGTCGTCAGAAGCGGGTAGTTCCAGGGCGCGATGCAGAGCACGACGCCGACGGGGTCCTTCTCGATGGTGCGCACGAAGTTGTCCTTCGCCGGGAGCACGTCGGGCGCCAGGGCCTTGGGCGCGAGCGCCATCATCATCTCGCAGCGCTCCATCATGCCGCCGATCTCGCCCCGTGCGTGCGCGACGGGCTTGCCCATCATGCCGCTGATGTCGTTTGCGATGCGGTCCGCGTCGGCCTTGATGGCCTCCATGAACTTTGCGCAGACGGCGACGCGCTGCTCCACCGTCGTCTCCGCGGCCCAGGCGCGCTGGGCGGCGGCGCTGGCGTCGACGGCGGCCAGGGCCTCGGCGGACGTCTTGTAGCCGACCTCGCAGTAGGTCTCGCCGCTGTAGGGGTTGTCCACGGCCACGGCGTAGGAGCCGTCCGCCGCGAGCGTCGACGCGCAGCGCCGCGCGCGCGGCGCGAGGAGGCTGCCCAATCGCAGGGCCATCGCGGATTCTGTCGAAACTTCGCACGTGTTTGAGGTCCACGTTGACGTCACGCCTTACCCGCGCCTCACTGGAGGTCGATGTCGTGGATGCGGAAGAGGGCGTTGAGGATGAGGCCCGCGAACATGAGGAGCGGCGTGCCGCAGAGCGTCATCGCCGCGAAGAGGAGCGCGAGCTGGATCGACGTCGCGTGGTTGAGGAGCTGGTCCGGGGTGAACTTGGCGGCCCAGGGCCCCGCGAGCGCCGGCGGCGAGAAGGCCGCGGCGCCGAGCACGAGGAGCGCGAGGTTCTTCGCGTCGCGGCGGAGGCCGTAGGCGACGGCCGCGAGCGTGAGGCAGCAGAGGAGCGCCGTCGCGGGCCGCGGGTCGTCCAATAGCCGCGCGGCGACGTCGTCGCCGCCGGCCGCCGCGAGCTCCGCGATGCCGGGCGCCAGGGCGCCCGCCTTGAGCGCCACGGCCGCGCCCTGCATGGCCAGGTACGCGGCCTCGGGCCGCGTCGCCGCCGCCGCGCGCGGCGCGGCCTGCGCGAGGGCCGCGGCCCGCAGGGGCAGCGCCAGCTTCTGCGCCGCGAGGGCGACGTCGAGCGTGAAGGCCTCGGCGAGCAGCGGCGCGGCGACGCCCGAGCCGAAGAGGCGGAAGCACGCGAAGGCGAACGCGCCGTAGACCGCGAGCTTGAGCAGGGGCTGCGACGCGCTCGACGACCGGAGGCGCCGCACGGCGAGGCCCAGGGCGTAGTAGACGAGGGCGCAGGACACAGCGACGAGCAGGATGGCCATGCAGCAGCTCTGCGCGACGCGCTTCCGGCCGAGCGCCTTCGTGAGCGCCGCCGCCGCGTCGAAGAGGCTCGTCCCTTCCGCGATGCCCTCGACGGCGTCGCGGTAGGCCGCCGTCGCGCTTTTGAAGGTCCGCGTGCTCGGGTGGAAGAGCGGGCAGAACTCGCAGACCGTGGCCGCGAGCTGGAGCGCGGCCGTGAACGTCGTCACGCAGAGGAGATCCGTCGCGTCGTCGGGCCGCCGCCACTTGATCGCCGTCGACAGCGCCAGCAGGGAGCCGAGGCACCACGTCTGGCCCATGCGCTTCCCCACGTCGGCGAGGAGCGACGCGGCCTTGGTCGCCATCGTTGCAAGGCGACTCCGCGGGCTGCCCGAGGGCAGCGAGATTCGTTGCTCGTCAACGTTGACGCCCGCAGCGGCACGAAGAGCGCCGCTGGTGGCTGCCCCCGAGAGAAGGTAGCGAGCTCGACCTCCAGGCCTTGTTTTGAAGAACCGCGTGCGCACGCCCGGCGACGGCCTGCTGCGACCCATGAAGCGCGGCCAGTTCCGCCCGGCGGAGCGCAACGCCTACGTCTCGGAGATGGCGAAGCGCTACCACACGAGTGTGCCCCGGGAGAAGAAGCTGCGGGACCTCGAGCACCTCGTCGACCCCACGGGCGTCGTCGCCGTCGCGGCCGCGCAGACGGGCACGCACGTCGTCGGCAACCAGCCGTCGCACGGCTCCCCTCCGCCGAAGCGGGGCCGCCCGCGGCCCGGCCGGCCGCCCCGGGGCTTCCCCGCCCTCTCGAGCCACGCCAGCGTCTCGACGGTCGCCTCGAAGAGCGTCGAGGCCGTGAGCCTGCCGCGGCTCCCGAAGGGCAAGTCGACGACGTTCCGCGCGAGCGTCCGCGCGGAGATCCTCGGCCACAGGAGCGCCGAGGACCTGCGCCGGGGGACCGTGTAAGGGTTTTTCGCCGCGCCTCTTCGCGTCGGTCCGGGAGGAGTCGGGAGCGCGCGCCGAGGAGCCCCATCCCCCGGGGCCCTAGGCGCGCGTTGCCCTAGGCGCGCGTTACTTCGGTCCCGGCGAGGAGCGCCTCGGCGGTCGCCGCGTCGAAGGCGGCGTTCTCGCGCGTGAGGCAGCTCGCCGCGCCGCGCGAGAGGCCGAAGGCGAAGGCGGCCACGGCGGCCGGGACGTCGCCGTCGGCCTCGTTTCCGAGCCAGGCGGCGAAGGTCGCGCCGGCGACCGTGTCGCCGGCCCCGATGGGGCTCAGCACGGGCCCCGGCAGCGGCGGCGACGTCAGCGAAAACGTCGCGCCCGACGCCGGCTCGAACGCGCCGGCCGGGTGCGGCCCGTCGGTCCAGAGCACGACGTGCAGGCACGCGCGGTCCGGGTCCAGGGACGCCGCGAGTTTTCGCGCCGCCCGCGCGGCGCGCTCCGGGTCCGCGACGGCGTCCGCGGCGCCCGCGGCGAGCGCGTCGCCCGCGAGCGCCAGCAGCTCGCGCGCGTTCAGCTTCAGCGCGACGGCGCAGCCCGCGCCTCGGGCGGCGTCCAGGGTCCCCTCCAGCCCGACGACGGAGTCGACGAGGACCTTGGTCGCCGCGCCGGCGACCGCGGCGACGCAGGACCCGTAGTAGGTCTCCCCGGGGACGCCCGGCGGCACGCTCCCGGAGACGAGGACGCCCGCGGCCGGCGCGCGGGCCGCGAGCCGCGACGTCAGGTCGTCGAGCTCGGACGCGGCGACGGCGCCCGAGGGCTCGACGACCTCCGTCGCGTCGCCGCCGGGCGAGACGAGCGTCGTGCAGACGCGCGTCGCCGACGCCGTCGCCACCCAGAGCGCCTCGTCGGAGTCGCACTGCGCGCGGATCGCCGCCGCCATGGCGTCGCCCGTGTCGCCGCCGTAGAACATGGCGAGCGACGCCGCCGCGCCGCTGGCTTTGGCTGCGAGAAAGGCGCCCTGGCCCTTGCCTCCCACCCCGCTATTCGACTCGGACGCGCGGTTCACAGCGCCCACAGCCAAGGGCGCGTCGAACGCGACGCGCCGCTGCAAGGCGCCGTTGAGGCCGAGGACGACGCCCGGGTTCAGGGCCGCGGCCATGGCGCACAAGATCGCGGCCACGAGAGCTCGCATCGCCCCCTGCGGTAAGCTTGCGGTAATCTTGCCACAGATGCCGCAGCAGTTCAGCGAGCTGCCTGAAAAGATGGGTGTCGCATACATCGCGCGGTTCATCGGGTCGCTCGTCGACGCCTCGGGGTTCGCCCTTGTGAAAATCTATCAGGATTTTGTGGCATTATTTGCGGCGGTCTGCATCGACGGAGGGCGACGGCGCCCCGTGATTGCGCTCGACATATCGTGGATAAAGTTGTCCAAGGACGACGACGACGACGACGACGACGTCAAGTACAAGCCCGTCGCGTCGCCCGCGTCCTCCGCGCGTCCCGGGGGCGCGCCGTCCCTCGCCCGCCGCCGATTCGAGAGCGCGCGCGCGCGGAGTTCGGGGCCGCGGTTCGACTCGACGCGCCGCGCGCCGACGCGCGGAGTTCGGGGCCGCGGTTCGACTCGACGCGTCGCTCGCGCAGGCCATGCAGGTCAAGCGCGTCGTTTCGATTGTTTCAGGGATGCTGCGAGGAGGGTTTGATGTATTTTGCGTATTTGAATCGAAAGAACCGTACTCTTTCGACTACGCGGGGAAAAGGATCGCAGTTCGCGCGGCGCAGCGGACATCGAACTCGCGCGTCGCGCGCGCCCTAGAGGAACTAAATGTCGGGGGCTATAGCCCAAGGGTGCACTGGGCAGACCGCGTGCCCGCGGAGGCGGAGTGCGGCGCCGCCGTGGCGCGTGGCGACGCGGACCTCGCGCGTTCCCCGCGTGTTCTTTGCACGCCGCGGCCTCGGATTCACGCGTCGTCCGCAGGTCTGGACGCTCGACAACGACGTCCTGCTCGCGCGCGTCGCGGCCATCCCCTGCATCACCTGGCCGCCGACGGCCTCCCCCGTCGTCGCCCTCGTCTACCGCGAGAAGGTCCTCGAGAACCTCAAGATTGACATCTCCGCGCTCTCGTTCATGCTCGCGCTGTGCCCCAAACACGGCGAGAGTCGGTTCTGGGGCGAGACCGACGGCGAGAGCCGCGCCGTCGACATCCCCCGCGCCCTCGCCGACAAGCTCAAGGTCCGCTTCTGCTTCGGGAGCGTCGGCGCGGACCCGCTCCTCCGCGTGCTCGCGGACGCGTTCGCGCACCTCGTCGAGAAGCAGCCCGCCCCCGAAGGCGCCCCCTTCTACGCGGCCTTCGAGCACAACGTCGACGGCGGCGAGTCCTTCGACACGCGGCCCGAGGAGTCGCGCGCCCGGCCGAACCGCGGCCCCCACTGCAAGACGCTCAACAAGCTCCTCGAGGTCATCGGCGCGCTCGAGCTCCACCAGCAGAACTACCTCTGGCGCGAAGCCCAGCGCGCGCACGAGCTCGCGGAGCTCCAGGCTTAAGTTCGGGGATCCGGGGGCTTGGGCGGGCCTCCAGCGCCACGTCGTGGTCCGTGGCAGGACAGGTGATGGCGGGGCGGTCGGCGAGAGCGCCGGCGCCCTTCGAGGGTCCGTCGGTGTGGCCGTCGGCGTGGCCGTCGACGAAGCCGTCGGCGCCGTGGGCGTCCGCGGAGCCGTTGGAGACGCGGACGTCCGCGAAGCCAGCACGGAGTAGGGCCACGCGGTCGCGACGAACAATCGGCTCCTCTTCCTCCAAGAGCGTGTCGTGCGGACGCGGTCGCACTTGCAGAGGGCCGCCGAAGGAGCCCCAGGCGTAGGCGTCCTCGTCCTCGGGCGCGCAGAGGCCGACCGCGTTGACTCGACCGTCGAACCAGTCCCAGAGCACCGCGTAGAAGAGCGGGTCGACGACGCCGATCGGGTCGCTGTAGGTGAAGGCGGCGCCGAAGGTGGAGTCGCCGTCCTGCTCGTCGCCGCCGCGCCAGTCGCCGTAGCTCTCCAGGACCGCGCACGCCGGGGTAGCCGTCGTCGTCGGCGACGCACGCGACGACGACCCCCTCCGCCAGAAGCGCGTCGAAGCGCTCCTTGCGCGTCATGTCAAGCCGCAGAGGTAGCCGCAGACCCACGCGTAGTAGGTCGGGAACTCCGCGTCCTGGTCGCCGAGGTACATGCCCACCGCGTTGACGTGGCCGTCGAACCAGTCGATGTCCCAGAGCACCTCGTGCTCGCCCGTGTCGAGGTCGAGCATGGCGACGCTGTACATGTCGCTGTCGTCGTCGACCTGGAGCACCTGGAAGGGCTTGTTGTAGGCCGTGCAGTTGAAGAGCAGGATGGGGTTGAGCGTCGGCACGAGCGTCGGCGCGGCCGTCGGCACGAAGAGGTCGTCGCTGTAGGGGCAGTTCAGGCCGTCGTTGGACCTCATCTCCTCCGAGGGGTCCGGGCACTGGATGTTCGCCGTGGACCGACCCTCGGCGACGCCGTCGTCGATCCACGTCTTGCCCTCCGCCTCGGGGAGCGCCGCGACGTCGAGGACGGCCTCCGCGTAGAGGTCCTCCGACACGGCGAAGAGCGTGCCCCCGTGGACCTCGGGCGACGGCGTGTCGATGCCCTCGACCCGCCAGAAGTCGACGTTGCCGTCGCGCCTGAAGTCCTTGGCGTAGTAGTAGTTCGACCCGAGGATCGCGCCGACGTTCGGCTTCTCCTCCGCCAAGGGCGTGTCCACGCACTCCTTGCGGACGCGGTCGCACTTGCAGAGGTGGCCGCCGAAGGAGCCCCAGGCGTCGGCGTTCTCGCCCTCGGGCGCGCAGAGGCCGACCGCGTCGACTCGGCCGTCGAACCAGTCCCAGAGCACGTCGGAGAAGAGCAGGTCGACGACGCCGATCGGGTCGCTGTAGGTGAAGGCGGCGCCGAAGGTGGAGTCGCCGTCCTGCTCGTCGCCGCCGCGCCAGTCGCCGTAGCTCTCCAGGACCGCGCACGCCGGGGTAGCCGTCGGCGTCGGCGACGCAGGCAGCCCCTGAAGGACACGTAGGGGAACGACCTGCCGTCATCGGCCTCGTAAAGCGCCGCGGCGTTGACGTGGCCGTCCTCGACGAGCTCCAGCAGCGTCGTGCCCTCGCAGCAGACGGACGTCAACACGTCCGCGCCCGTGTTCCAGCACGCGTCGCGCACGTCGACGGGCAGCGACAGCTCGCAGATGCCCGTGCCCTCGTGCGCGGCGGAGAACGCGTAGCGCCCGGACTGTCGTCGGGACCTCAGGCCCAGTGTTGTCCTGCAGAGGAGCTGTTGCACTGGCCATTTGGTGCTCGTCGACTGTCCGGCGCTGGCGCGATGCCGCGGGCACGAACAGGAACGACGAGCTCCGCCAGATCCGTGAGATCTTCGAGGGCTACGGCGCGCCGCCCAAGAACGACCGCGACACGCGGGAGCCCTGGTCGGAGCCCGCGGCGCACCGCAGCCCGAGCGGCGGGCAGCCGCGCTCGAGGTCGAGCGTGCGTGAATTCGAGGCAGCCTCGGCTCTAGCCTGCACCGTGCATCGCTGTTGAAGTCGATCTGTCGGTCGACTCACTCGGCGCCGCACGTCGTCAGTAGCACCTTCGCAGCGAACCTCGCGGCGCCCGCGGCCTCGCCGCCCCAGCACCACCCAACGACCGCCGGCACGCTTTCAAGATCATCATGATGCGGACGACAGCACAAAAAGAAGCATCTGTTCGATCAAACGAGAAGCGACATGAAAGACACATGCAGCAGCGCCGCGAGACCGAGGCTCTGTCGGTCTATGAAGACGACAAGCTGCGCGGGACAATCGGCGTCGTGGCGAGTCGGCACGACGCGCTCCTGCGCCACATCCAACGGCTCTCCCAAGCCCGCGATCGACACGTCTCGCTCGACGGCAGCGGCCGCGACAAGGTCTGTGCGTGCAACTTTGCGGGGATTCGCGCCCTCGAGGGCCGCCCCGTCGCCGTCCGCGTCGTCGGGGCGCACCTGGTCAGCCCGTGGTGGCTGCGCCGCGGGTCGGCGGCCGCCATCCACAAGGACCTCATCGAGCCGGCGCTCGCCGTGCGGGTCCAGCTCGCGGACCACCTGCAGACGAAGGTCGACGACGCGCTGGCCGCCGGCGATCTGGACCGGCTGAAAGGCCGCGCGTCGTCGCGGGCCTGCCGCCTACGCGCGCCTTTTTTCGTGGGCGACAACTCATTGAGTCACCGCGGAGGTATTTCCGACAGCTCGGCGGTCGCGAACGCCTACGACGCTGAGCTCGAGAAGTTCGGCGGCGCGGGCGTGACGGCGCGCGTGTCCATCTTCTCCGACCAAAAGGCCGGGCTCGAAGCCGCCTCCTGGAGCTTCGCGGGCGCGGGCAGCGCCGACTCGTTCACGGGCGTCTGGGTCAACGACGGCTTCGGCAAGAGCGGCCACGCCATCGTCGCGATCCCCATCGTCAGCGCGTCGGGGCACAAGTGCGTCGTCGAGGTCCACTGCGCCCGTCGGAGCCTTTCGGACCCGCTCCTCGTGGGCTACCACGACAGCGAGTTTGCGGCGCTGAACGACGTCAGCGACGCGGATCTCCTGAAGCACGTCTTCTGGCTGAACGACGATGGAAGGGACCCGACGGCTGAGCCGGCGACGACGCCGTACGCGAAGGCCTTCATGAAATTGAAGGGGACGATCGATTCGCTGTACGGGAACTGGTCGTCGTTCTTCGACAAGACGGAGGAATGGCTCCGCGGAGTCTTCGACTGCGACCCCTCGCAGGTCAACGTCGACGAGCTCATCGAGTTCCTCGACGCCGCCGACGCCCCGGCGGTCCCCGCCATCCCGGAGAAGGGCGGCGCGGAGTCCGCGGAGGCGAAGGCCTTCTTCGCCGGCCTGCTCGGCGGCCTCGCGGCGATGGCCGTCGCCGCCGACGCCGACGGCTCCCCGCCGACGAAGCGCGTCTGCGTCGCGGCGGGCGACGGGCCCCGCCGCCGCGGGCCCCGCGACGGCGCCGCCCGCCCCCGCGCGAACACCGGCGGCGCGAGCACCGGCGGCGGCGCGCCCCGCGACGACGCGCGCGGCTCGCCGGACGACGACGGCGGCGGCCCGTCGCCGGGCGACGACGACGACGACGGCGGCGGCGACCCGGACCCGGGGGGCGACGGCCGCAACCCCTGCTGCAAACGGCCCCGGGCTCGAGGACGCCGGCCGCGGCCGGCCCGCCCGGCGGGCAGCGTCCTGAACGCCAACCTCGCCCACGGCATGACCGCCAACCAGATGATCAACTTCTTCCCCCACCCGACCGACGAGGAGGCCGCGGCGAACGAGGCCGCGGCGCCCGAGGTTCCGCCGCAGCGGAAGTCGAGCCGGCGGAAGTCGAGCCGGGGGCCGGGGGGGGGCGACGATTCCTAAGACGAGGCCTAAGACGAGGCCAGCGCCGTCGCGCGCGCTCGACTCGCTTGGCGCAAAATTAGCTAGCGCGACGCGCTGCGCTTGGCCTTCTTCGAGAGGAGCTTCGCCTTCTTCGCGCGCGCGGTTTTCGCCGGCTTCGGCGGCTCGCCGCCCTCGACGTCCGGGGACCAGGTGACGCGCTTCGCGGGCTTGTCCGCCGGCTCCGGCGAGAGGAGCGGCGCCTCGCGCCGCGGCTTCTTCCGCTCCGGCGCGGGCCCGAGGCCCGCGCGGCCGCGGATCGACGCGACGAGGTCCGCGGCGTCGGGCCCCGACGCCGCGTCCGCGTCGGGCGCGGGCTTGCGCTTGTGGGGCCGCTCGCGCTTCTTCTTCGGGGGCAGGGCCGCGGCGTCGCTCTCGGCGCGCGCGGCGACGTCGCCGGTCCGCGTCGCCGCGGCCGCGGCCTGGCGCTTCGCGGATTCGGGCGCGAAGTACTCGCCGCTCTCGATCTGGAGGTCGACCTTGGAGGGCTGCTGGGCCGGCGGGAAGGGCGTGTAGGCCTTGGTGGGGCGCGTCTTGAGGGGCTTCTTCGTCTGCACGTTCTTCTTCGCGAATTTCGGCAGGAACCGCTCCCAGTCCTCCTCCTTGAGCTCGGGGTCGTTCGCGAGCTCGCGCTTGATCATGAGGATCTTGATGTTGTAGATGGGGTGGACGTTGCGGAAGCACTCCTCGACGACCTTGCGGCACGTCTTCAGGCCCTTGATGCCGCCCATGCACGCGACCGTGTTGCCCTGCACGAGCACGTAGCACTCCGTGAGCAGCTCGAGCGCCTTGAGCGTCGCGCCGTCGGGCCCGACGAGGCGCTGCCGCCGGCGCACGAAGCGGTCCCGGTTCCGCACGAGGCCGCCGATCTTGATGACGTCGCAGTGCACGCCGTCGTCGAGGATCTTCATCGCCTGCGCCGCGGGGATCGACCGCGCGAGGAGCTTGATGAGGTCCCGCGCCTTGAGGATGACGTAGGGGTCCGACGTCTTCCGCGTCGTCGCCACGGTCATGGACCCCTCGATGAGGTTGAGCTCGCAGGCGACGCCGACCTTGCCCAGCGTCCGCGTGACGATCGGCCACGCCTCCCGGATGTAGCCCTCGCGGTACCGCGGGAAGAGCGTCGCGAAGCTGCTCTCCTCGAGGAACGCGCCGGGCGAGTGCTCGGGCTTCCACTCCTCGAGCTTCCAGTGGTCGACGTCGTCCGTGTCCCAGGGCTTGTCCTTGCGGTAGCGCCTGCGCGGGCGACGGTGTTTTGACGCGGCGTCTGCGGGGCGCGTATGCGCATTTTGCGCGCGCGGGTGTCTCTCGTTTGGTGTGCGGCCGTTGCAAACGTATCTGGCACCGGCCCGCGCTGCTTCTTGGGCTTGGAATCGGCTTCGTTGGAGGCGTCCATCGCGCTTCGCCCACGGCAACTCAGCGGCACTGCCGACCTCTCCATCGCTAACTCCGGCGACCACTTTGCTCGCTCGCCCATCCTTGTCGTGCTGCGCTGCGTCCCATGAGCACCCGACGCGCGCTCCTGAGAGTTCTAGACCCACTGCCGCGGCGGCTGACGACCGACGAGCAACGCCGTGACGACGAACTGCGAAAGCGCGAGCTGCGCGCCACCTCATGCGGCGGTCGCCGCTCTCCGAGGCGCGGCTCCACGGAGCGCGGCCTCCGGAGGCCGCGACGCGGTCGCGGGGCGGCGCCTCGGCAGCTTCGAGCTCGGCTGCGCGGCGGTGCCGACGGCGGGCCGCGGGCAGGACGTCCCCCCTCGTCGCGCGCGCTCCGCCTCGTCGCTCCGCGCCAAAGTCTCGCCGTCCGCCTACGCGGCGGCGCCGACGGCGGGCCGAGAGCCTCCCCCCCGCCCCCTCGCGCGCGCGCCCCGCCTCGTCGCTCCGCGCCGCCGTCTGACGCGTCGTCCGCCCAGGTCAAGATGGCCAGCAAGAAGTGCGTGAAGCCCGAGGGCCAGGAGCCCGACGAGATCGAGAGCCAGGTCGCGGCCGAGCTCTACAACCTCGAGCAGTCGTCGACGGAGCTCAAGGCGGAGCTCAAGGAGCTCTACTTCCTCAGCGCCAAGGAGGTCGAGGTCGGCGGCGGCAAGAAGGCGATCATCGTCTTCGTGCCGTTCGGCCTGCTCAAGAGCTACCACAAGATCCAGACGCGCCTCGTGCGCGAGCTCGAGAAGAAGTTCTCGGGCCGCCACGTCATCATCGTCGCGCAGCGCACGATCCTCGGCAAAAACTACGCGCGGAGCTCGTCGTCCAAGGGCCCCCGGCCGCGGTCGCGCACGCTCACGAGCGTCCAGGACTGCATCCTCGACGACCTCGTCTACCCGACGGAGATCGTCGGCAAGCGCACGCGCTGCAAGCTCGACGGCTCCAAGGTCCTCAAGGTGCTCCTCGACCCCAAGGACCAGGTCAACGTCGAGACCAAGCTCGACACGTTCTCCTTCGTGTACAAGAAGCTCACGAACAAGGAGGTCATCTTCGAGTTCCCCGTCACCGACCTCTAGAGGGGGGGCGCCGGGGCCCCCGGGGCCCGCCCTTCGCCGACCGCCGCGGTTCCGCTCGCCGCCGCTAAGCGTGAGCACCTTCCTTCTCGCGAGCGGGGTCGCGGAGCCCCGGTGCGCGTTCGGTCGGAGCGCGCCGGCGGCGACGCCGTCGGCGGCGGCGACGCCACCGGTGTCTTCCTAGGCCGCGGCGCGGAGCAAAGCCGGCCGGGCGATCGGGCAGCCCGGACGGCCGCGCGGCGACGCGACGACGCGACGCGGCGCCGGCGTCGCAGTGAAGTGATCAAAACTCGGATTCTGATAGCCTGGATTTAAAAGTCAACATTTTTGTTGAACTTCAGCACTTTTGTTGAAGTTAAATCTTGCGATTTCTTGACCCGAACCAGCGACCGCGCGCAAAAAGTCTTCGCAAACGTGCAATCAACGCGTGAGTATCATCAAGCTTGCTTTGATACGACCATTTAACCAATTTTGGCCGTGATTTCAGCCCGCGGACCTCCGCGACACCGCGCCCGCGCGCGCGGTCGACGCACAGCCTCTATGGAGGACTAATGACTCTGGCTCCGCCGGCCGGAATTCGATGATTGATCTTTATTAATTAATTTCCTATGGGCGTGTCTAGATGTACGTTGATCACTTCACTGCGGCGTCGGCGATGCGACCTTGCACTCCTCGGACCATCGACATCGAGGCGAGATCGCTGAGCCTGTTGTCACGCGCGCCGCCGCCGAGGTCGACCGCGTCGTCCCGCGCCGCAAACCCACCTCCGCCGCGGTTCGCCTGTCCCTCGCCGACCATGCCCGAGGAGCAGTCGCGCCCGCTGAGCCCGTTCAAGACCTACCGCGAGTTCGTCGCGACGCAGCGCGACGACGCGGACCCGCAGACCTTCAGCCGGCGCTACCAGGACTACCGCGGGACCTTCGCCAAGGAGCTCGTGCGCCGCTTCTTCGAGCGCAACGCGGACTTCGAGTGGTTCCGCGAGCGCTACGACCCCGCGCGCATCGAGGCGCGGTGCGAGGCGCAGCGCGCGCGCGCGGCCGCCGAGGCCGCGGCGTTCCGGGAGAACATCGGCGACGCCGAGGGCTTCGTCGCGGGCTGCTCCCTCGACCCGGCGGAGGAGCCCGCGGCGGCGGAGGCGCCCGCGGAGGGCGCGGACGCGGCCGTCGCGTTCGAGGCGAGCCGCCAGTGCGTGCCCGGCCACGCGGCGGCGCGCGTCGTGCTGCTGCCCGGCTGCCCGCCCGTCGCGGGCGCCAAAGCGCTCGGCGCGGCCGTCGCGCTGGCCGTCGAGGACGCGCGGGGCCAACGCGACGACGCGCCCGCGGTCGCGCCCCCGAGGGTGCTCCTCGACGACGCCGCGCCCCGGCGCAAGGACGGCTTCGACGTCGACGCCTGGCTCCTCTTCGACGACGCGGACGCCGCGCGCGACGCGGAGAAAGCCCTCGGCGACGGCCGCCTCGACGTCGCGGTGCCGCCGGCGCTCGCGGCGTCGCCGCCGCCCTGGGACCCGACGGCGTGCCGCCCGTGCGGCGACCGCCGGCGGAGCCGCGACGACGGCGACGCCGGGCCCGACGACGGCGACGACGGCGCCGCCCTCGACGCGGCGCGGGGCCGCCTCGCCAAGGCGCTGGGCCGCGAGCTCCTCGAGCGCGACTCGTTCCGCGCGCGCGCCAAGCGCGCGCTGCTGTCCGCGTCCGTGGGCGCCGTCGACGAGTTCGGCCGCGGCGCGCGGCCCCGCCGGGGCCCGCGGCCCTACGACCGCGCGGGCGCGGCCCTGGGCTCGCGCGACCGCCTCGCGCGCGACTGCGCGCAGGCGCTCGCGGCCGCGGCGGCCTACGACGACGCCGCGGACGTGCCCGGGGGCGACCGCCTCGCGGCGCTCGTCGCCGGCGACACTGCATTGGGCGCGGCGCTCCGGGCCGACAACGGCGCGTGCTTGGACGTCGCGGCCGCGTACCTCCGCCGCGTGCACCTCGTGCTCTACTACGGCGCGACGCGCTGCAAGGACGAGATCGACCTCCTGACGCGCGACGTCGCCTGGCTCACGCGGCCCGCGCGCGCCGACGCACCGGGGTCGCCGGACGAGGAGGCCGAGAAACTCGCGGCCGCGACGGCGGACCTCGCGGCGCGCCTCGAGGCCAAGGCGCGCCGCGCGGCGCCGAAGGCGCCCCGCGAAGACGACGACGGCGGCTCGTCGCGGAAGAAGCGCCTGCGCGGCGACGACGACGACGACGCCGACGACGACGGCGACGAGCCGACGGACGAGGCCGCGAAGGCCGCGGACCCGCCGAAGGACGAACCGGCGGCCGACGACGGCGGCGCGGCGGACCCGCCCAAGGAGGCCGACGGCGCCAAGGACTGGGGCAAGGTGCTCGCCGACATGGACGACGCGCTGTGCCGCCTCATCGCGGCCGCGCGCCGCGAGGCGGCCGACGACGGCGCGGACGACGGGTCCGGCGTCTGCCCCGGCCGGGCCTACCACCCGCGGGGCGCGGCCGCGCGGCTCTTCGCCGCGGAGAACGCGGCCGTGGACAAGGCCACGGAGGCCTTCTACGCGGAGACGGGCGCGGCCGAGGACAACGGCCGCGCGCGCTGCGGCTTCGAGTGGTGCCGCAAGCTCTTCAAGTCCCAGGACTTTCTGCGCAAGCACGGCGCGAACCGCCACGGCGACTACCTCGAGCAGTTCGTCACGGCGGCCCGGCGGCCCTTCATGTGGGCCGTCTACGAGCTCGACGGCCAGAAGCCGCTGCCGCCGATCCGCACGGACGCGGGCGCCGAGGTCGAGCCCCTCGAGCTCCTCGGCGGCAAGGCCGACCGGAAGCGGGGCCGCGACCGCGACCGCCGCGACCGCCGCGACGACCGCCGCGACGACCGCCGCGGCCGCGCGGACTCGTACGGCGACCGGCGGAAGCCGTTCTCGCCCCGCGACCGCCGCGACGACCGCAGGCCCGAGCCGCGCCGCGACCGCTCCGCGGGGCCGCCCAAGGCGCCGCCGGGCGCGCCCAAGAGCAGCGACCCGCGCAAGCCCCCGTCCTACAACGACGTCGACGCGCCGAAGCGCGCGGTGCTCTCCCTCGACTACGGCGTCCTCCTCCCGCCGCCCGCGAAGAAGAAGAAGAACAAGTAGGCGGGGCGAGGGCCCCGCCGCGCGTAAGTTACGGCACGTGCCGTCGCGCTCGGTGTGTGCCCGCCGGTGTGTCCGGCAGGCTCTGCGGGTCGACGGACGTGTCGCACGGGTAGGCCTACGGGTCGCTCGCTCGCCAGCCGATCCGCCACAAGGCAAGGAGGCGGGGTCGAGGACGCCCGGGTGGACGGACCGACGGGGCTGACGACGAGGGATAACAGAGGGTAATATGGAGAATGACGAAGTGACCCGGCGCCGCGACTTACTCATATGGAGCAAACGAGTTCGAAAAATTTGGCGTGACCTGATCCCCGGGAGCAAGAAGCGCCCGCCGTCCAACGCGATTGGGAAGCCCCTGGAGTTCCTCTCAATATCCAAGACCGCGCATGCACCCGCGTCTCTTCCTTCCTACATACAACGATCGATTCGTGTGAGTCTTAGGCGCGAAGAACCAGACTCGCCGTGGCTTCGAGACGTTAGCGACGCGTCGATGCGATCGGCGCGGGCGGTGTTGAGCAAATGGTGTCAAGTGCACGCGGTTCTGCGACCTTCGAGCGCTGCGCCGCACGTCGCGCAGCGGCCGAGACTCGCGGTCGCGGGCGGCGGCGCGGCAAGCCCCTTTGTGGCCGCGCTGGGCATCGACCTGCCACTTTTAGACTTTCTCGGAGGGGCGGATCTCGCGCGCGTCGAGAGCACGTGCCGGGCCGCTTGGCTTCCTTCCAGCACCAAGGGGTGGCTCAGCGCGCCGGAGGCCGTCGCGAAGCGTGCGCTCGATGGAGTTGGCAACTGCAAGCACGAGATCAAGCGGACGTATGACTTCGCTCGACGCAAGCGCGCGGGCCTCACGGCGGTGGAATCCCATTGCGAGCTGCTGCACAAGTTCTCGATTAATGCATACTTTGTGCTCCATCTTCCCGCCCGGACGGGGTTTTCTCTCGTGGACGGCCCCGTGACCTGCGGGAGCCTCCGCGCGTTCCGGTTCCGCGGAAACGTGATGGACGAATTCAACGATACCGGCCCTGTGATCCGATATGCACCAAAAAACTCAGTGCCAGCTCCGGTGAAGTTCCACGACCAGTGGTGGACTCTCATGAAAGTCGATGGCACGCGTATCATCAGCAGCAGCCATCTCCTTGAGTTCCTCGCGTCCAAACCGGACGACCACGTCGTGCAAGCCCGATTCAACCACAAGTACGACCAACGTGTTGTTTATCATCCGCTCACCTGCCGTTCCCTCGACGTCTACTTCGGCATGGCCCGCGCTATCGTCCCAGGCTGGAACTACGGCGGCGATCTCAAGCTCTCACTTCTGCCACAAGAACGACGCAAGAGAAAACACTACCGCGAAGCCAACGGGCCCTTCCATTTGCGCACCCTCCTCAGCAAGCCGTTCCTCAGTGGAAAGAAATACCGCCTCGTCGCCTCCGAGGACTCCGAGGACGAAGATGGATGGATCTCGAGCTCCGACGAAGACGACGACTCGAGCGACGAGGACGAGGACGACTATTGAGCCTCTACGAGGCTCTAGAGGCCTGTGCTTTAAGAATGGTCGCGCTTTGGCGTCCCACGCCGCCCCGCGCACCGCAACTCAGATGCAGACGACGTTGCCCCGCCCGACGCAGTAGGCCCGGGGCCGCCGGTCCGTGCGGCCCGCGCGCGGACGAGGCGAATACGCCTTGGGCGTGTTCGGGTCGTCGAACGCGCCGCTGCACTCGAGGCGCACGGCCTCCTCGGAGGCGCGGTACCTGGCGCCGCCGCCCTTGGCCCGGGCGAGGTACGTCGCGACCTTCTGCTTGACGCGGCCTGTGTGGAAATCAACCACTGGTTTGGGGGGTCCCCACCAAACTTCAGAACTCTCTATCTCAATCAAATCGAAGTCGATTCGGCTGATTTTTGGACGGATCGATTGCTCTCGTCGAGTTCTCGAAGCACGGCAGAAAGCCTCGCGTCGAAACCGTCGAATACGCTCACATTGAAGTCGGGTTGAAGGTTTGGAATCCACACAGGACGCGGCCGACTTTGCGCGCGGTCTTCCAGACGACGCCTCCGTCGCGGAACACGGGCAGCAGCTGGGTCTTGCTCGCCTGCCGGTAGAACTTGGACTCGACCTCGCCGTAGAGGCGCCGGAGCTTGAGGCGCTGCATGACGCGGATGTCCTGCTCCGTGATGGTCGACGGCGGCGCGTTCTTGAGCTGGGCGAGCAGCTTGGCGTCGCGCGCGTCGCGGAGGAAGGTCTCGCGCGCCTGGGCGCCGCGGCGGGCGGGGTCCGGGAGCATCGTCGCGGCCGCGCGCGATTGACCGCAAGGGCAGCGCCGAGATACGGCGGCGCTAGATGGGCTGCCTGAAGCATCGCGCCGGGAGCGGCCCGGAAGTTGCGGCAAGGCACGGCGTCTGCACCATCGACCAATGCACCGAGAATCGAGAGGCTGTGACGACGCAAGCTCGAGAGCTTGAGGCGCTCTGAGTGCGCCGGCGGCTGCCGCGCGCGACGAGACCCGCGGCGTCGGTACTCGCGTTGCGGCCATCGCGTCGCCATGAGCGCCGACGACCTCGCCACGGAGAACGCGCGCCTGCGCGCGCGGCTCGCGGCGCTCGAGCAGCCGCAGGCGGCATCGCGAGAGGCGCCGTCGCTCTTCGAGAACTTGAAGCGCATCTGCTTCGGCCAGGCGCCGCCCGTCTTCGCGCCGAGGGCGCCCGAGGCCGCGCCCGCCGAGGGCCTCGGGTCGCCGGGCTTCGGCGAGCGGTCCGCGTTCCCGTCGGGCGACGAGCCCGGGGACGCGGCGCTTACGCCGCCGCGGTCCGCGCGGCGCCTGTCCTTCGCGAGCGACGTCGAGTTCCGCTACGTGGAGACCATCGACGAGCAGCCCGCGGCGGAGCGGCGCGACGTCTGGTGGACGCACCGCGACTACCAGCAGATCCGCGCGCGGCAGCGCGAGCTCATCCTGCTCGTATTGAAGCAGGCGCACGACTACCCCGCGGGCGTCGTGCCGCCGCCCATCCCCGGCGAGTCGCGGCGGGGCCTGGGCATCTGCTGCGAGCCGGGCACGAACAGCGGCCGCGCGTCGCGCGTGAAGACGGGCCTCCGCCAGATCGTCCGCGCGCACCGGAGCGGCATGGGCTGGCGCGACCTCGCCGCGCTGAGCGCGGAGCTCAGCGAGTGGGCGGCGACGAACGCGCGCGAGGTCGGCCTCAAGGACCACAGCGCCGCCGCGGACAAGGGCGACTTCGCGCGGACCTTCTTCCTCCACGGCTCCGTCGAGGGCGCCGCGCCGGGCGACGCGGCCGCGGCCGCGCCCGCGCGCCGCGCGCACTCGGCGACGCGCCTCGGGGCGCGCGACGGCGCGCGCGGCGACGAGGTGATCCGCTCGCCGCCGCGCAAGGCGCGCAGCGACCCGACGCTCGCGTCGGGCGTCGCCCACGCGCACCGCCGCGACGCGACCGACCGCGAGGCCGCGCCGGGCATCGGCCTCTGCGCGACGCTGCCCGCGACCGTGGCCCACGCGCAGCGCCGCGACGACGAGCCCAAGACCAACGGCCTCGGGTCCATGGTCCGCGTCGACTCGCTCACGAACCTCGCGGCCGCGTCGACGGCGCACCTCGGGAGCGCCCCCTGGGACGCGGCGCCGCCGCCGCCGGCGAAGCGCGACGGCCTCGGCCTCGCGTCCATGATCCGCAACGACAGCCTCGGCAACCTCCAGTCCGCGGCCGCGGCCGCGACGCGCGAGCCGCGCCGCTTCGCGTAATCACCCAAGTAAGCGACCGCGAACGTAGTCGCCCGGTGTGCGAGAGCGAAATTAAGGTCGAACCCCCCGCCGTCCCGGCGGGGGGCGGCGCGGCGCGCGGGGCCGGCGCCGGGCCGCTACTCGTCGCCGTCGACGGCGGCCGCGGCCTCGGACGCGATGGCGACGACGTCGACATCGCCGTCGTCGTCGGCGAGGCTGCGGAGCTTCGTCTTCAGCAGGGCGAGCTCCGCACCGGCGCGGTGGCGCTGGAGCCGGGGCGCGAGCTTCCGGAGCGTCGCCGCCGCGTTGAAGCGGACGTTCGCGACGGGGTCGTCGCCTGTGTGGAATTCAAATCTTCAACCCGAATTCAATGTGAGCGTACGCGACAGTTTCGAAGCGAGGTTTTCTGCTGTGCTTCGAGAACTCGACGAGAGCAATCGATTCGTCCAAAAACCAGCCGAATCGACTTCGATTTGACCGAGCTAGAGAATTCTGAAGTTTGGTCAGGACCACCCAAACCGGTGGTTGAATTCCACACAGGTCGTCGCAGAGGTCCAGGACCGTCGCGAGCACGTCCGCCGCGACGTCCTCCGGCGCGAGGACGTCGCAGAGCGCGTCGAGGGCGCGCAGCGCCGTGATGCGGCGCAGGTAGTAGCGCTGGCGCGCGAGGTCCGCGACCTTTGGGAGCGCGACGTCGCGCGCCCACCGCTCGCCGAACTTGGCCGCGAGGAGCCGCAGGTTGCGCGTCGCCGCGATGCGGATGGCGGCGACGTCGTCGGCGAGCCAGCCGACGCACTTGGCCTTGAGCGCGTCGTCGAAGAAGGCGACGCCCAGCTGGTCCGCGATGAGCGGCACGTGCTCGATGATCGCGCCGCGGACGCGCCACTTGGCGTCGTCGGCGAGGTCGACGATGGCCGGCAGCAGCGACTGGCTCAGCAGGTCGACGCCGACGACGGCGTGGACGGGGCCCAGGTTGGAGATGATGTTGAGCCGCACCTCCGCGTTCGCGTCGCGCAGGAGCGCGAGGAGCACGGGCAGCACCTGGGCAGGACAAGAGAGATTCAACGTCGCTTCAACGTGAGTGTGCCGCGCGCGCGCGTTCCGGGAAAAGCATTCACGCTTCGAGACCGTTCCGAGAGATGATCGCCCGTCCAAAAATCAGCCGAAACGAGTGGAAAACGGCCGAGAAAGGAGCCTTTGAAGTTGGGAATTTCGCTCTCTTGTCCTGCCCTGGGCAGCACGCGCGCGACGGTCGCGTCGCGCCCGAGCGCCGGCGCCAGGTCGCCGACGGAGCTCGCCAGCGCCGCCCGCACCTGCTGGGACCCGTCGCGGCTCAACGCTTCGATGGACGGCGCGAGCGCCGCGAGCGCCGCGTCCTCGTCGCGCACGCGCCGCGCGACGCCGCTGAGCGCGCCCGCGGCCGCGCAGCGCACCTCGGGCTCGACGTCGTTCAGGAGGCCCACGAAGGTCGCCCGCAGCGCCTCGGCGCAGTGGGCGCCGTCGTCGCCGCCGACGTCGTCGTCGACGGCCGCGGCCAACTCCGCGAACGCCGCCGCCGCCGACCACCGGACGCGCCAGGACCGGTCCGTCGCCGTCGCCAGCAGCACGGGCAGCACCGTCCCCCGCACGCGCGCCGGCTCCAGCGCCCGGAACAGCGCCGCGCAGTTGCCCACGGTCTGGAGCCGCACCGAGTCCTGGTCGTCGCGCGCCAAGGCCTCGAACAATGAAACCAGCGACCCCAGCGGCTCGCCGTCGGAAGACCCGCCCGCCAACGCAATAGCCCCGAGCTGGCCCGCGGCCACCCTACGCACCATGGGCGTGTCGTCGCGGCAGAGCCGCGCGAACAACGCCTCCGCGTCCGCGCGCGACCGCGGCGGGAGCCGGCCTGGGCGGGAAAAGGGTGCGAAATTCCCAACTTCAAAGGCTCCTATCTCGGTCATGTTCCACTCGTTTCGGCTGATTTTGGGACGAGCGATCATCTCTGGGAACGCTCTCGACGCGTGGATGCTTTTGCCGGAACGCGCGCGCGCGGAACACTCACGTTGAAGCGGAGTTGAATCACCCTTTTCCTGCCCGGGAGCCGGCCGTGGGGCCCCGCGAAGAGGCCGCACGCGGAGATGCGCGCCGTGAACCAGTCGTGGTTCCCGAGGCGCTGCACGAAGGGCACGTAGTAGGACACCAAACTCTCGTCGGGCATGGCCGCGGCGACCTCGAGCGCCGCGCGGACCGCGCGGTCGCGGACGCGCGCCTCCTCGACGGCCGCGAGCGCCTCGAGCGGCTCGAGCACGACGTGCGCGTGGGCCGGCCCGCCGACGTAGGCGCCCAGGGACCCGAGCTGGTCCGCCATCTCGAAGAGCACGTCGTCGCTGTCGTCCGTGAGGTCGCAGATGAACGGCACGAGCTCCTCGCGGACGCGCTCCGGCCCGAGCGCGCGCGCGATCCTCAGCAGGTTCGCGTTCGACTCGAGGCGCAGGCGCACGTCCTCGTTCTTCAGCTGGTCGATGAGCACGGCGATCTCGCCGAGGTCCACGCACCCGCCGCCGTCGTCGGGGGGGGGCGCCGCGCCCTCCATCTCCTCGCTGAACAGGTCGCTGCAGGCGACGAACTTCAGGTAATCTATGGTGCCCGACCACCGGCCGGCCGCCGAGCCTGTGCCGGCGGGGACAAATGCGAACCAAGGCCGGCGGCGCGCCCGCGGGGACCGGCGGCGCGAGCGCGGTCCACCGGTGCGAGCTCGTCCAAAAACTCGCTTGCCGCAATGCCGACGCGCATTATTGAAGTTGGCAACGCAGGCGGACGGCGTCCTCGGCGCCGCGCGGCCGCGCGCCCTATGCCGTCGCACGGGCGCCGGCGCCCGCCCCCGTCGGCGGGTGAGGCTTGAGATGTTCCTAGGTCGGGCGAGAAGGGCGGGTCGCGGCGGGCGGCGCGCGGCCGCGGCGCGGCGCGGCGCGGCCGCGCTCACTCGGGCTGGAATTTCGGCTCCGGGGGGTGCTTGGAATGCTGCTTGATTTTGTTCATGAGGATGCGGATCGTGTCCTGCTGCTGGAGGCCGTTGATGCCCGGGTACTTGGACTTGGTCTTCTCCTCCTCCTCCTCCTCCTTGGACTTGATCTTGGTGCGCAGGTCCACGGCGAAGTTCTGGAGCTCCTCCTCCTCCTCGTCCTGGTCGACGTACTGGCCGTCGGCCTGGAGCTGGTAGCGCTCCTTGTTCTTCTGGAGGAAGACGAGGCACTCCTCGACGGCCTGCGCGTCGACCTGCTCGTCCATCATCGCGCAGCGCTTCATGATGGCGACGTAGATCTCGTAGAGGGGCGCGACGACGTAGCCGATGAAGCCCACGGTGGACGTGGGGATCATGTTCGAGCGCCGGTCGAAGAGGGGCGCGACGTTGCGGCCCGCGGCGCGGTCGAGGTCGCCCTCGTGGTAGAACTCCTTGTAGACGGCCTCGTTCCAGCGGTTCGCGACCTTCCAGGGCCGCGCCTGGTTGGAGATGTCCGCGCACTTGAGGCCGATCTGGAGGATGAGGTTGATGCCCTCCTCGGACTTGAGCGGGTGCCAGCCGTCGATGTTGAGCTTCTCCTTGATCTTCTTCATGAGCAGCCCGTGCTTCGCCATGTCCGTGGCGAGGATCATGTGGTGCACGATGTCGACGAAGCGCGTCTTCTCCTCCTCCGTCGGCAGGTTCGCCAACAGCTCGTGCTTCTCGCAGAGCCGCCCGAAGACGCTGAGGTGGTGGTTCTCGAGCGGGCTCTCCTTGTTGTAGCGCTTGCTTAGCTCCGTGTTCTCGTTGTTCTGGTACGTGTTCGACAGGCCCGGGTGGTCCAAATCGTGGCAGACCGCGGCGATGTAGGCCGCGGCGAGCTCCACGGGCCGGAGCCGCTCCGCGACGTGCGTCGCGAGGAGCAGCGTGTACATGTACTGCGTCACGTCCGTGACGTGCGTGAAGTTGTGGTACGAGTTGTCCCGCATGACCATCTTGATGTCGTAGACGAAGGGTAAAATCTCGCCCGCGGGCTTCTTCAACGTCTGGGGCACGCGGAGGTTCTCCATCATGCGGATCATGTGGTTGAGCTTCATGTCGTCGTCGACGCCGAGGCCGTCGTAGTTCATCGTGCAGAGCTCCGTGTGGACGAGGAAGTCGTACCAGCCGAGCTTGCTCAGGGGGTTGTCCTCGCCGAGGAGCGCGTCCATGTTGTCGTCGGTGATCGTCTTCTTCTGGTAGAACGACAGCCGCCGCATGTTCCCGGACGACGCGCGCTGCGTGAGCTGCGGCGGGAGCTCCCCGACGTCCTCGATCGTCTCCTTTTGCCCGCTGAGGGCGCGGATGCGCGACATGACGCCATTCCCCATGGCGCCCGGGGACCGCGGCCGACGCCGAAGGTCGCTGTGGAGCCGCGCAGGCGACGGGGCGCGGGGGGGGGCGCCTCGGCGGGGCGGAGCGGCCGGGCCGCCTCGCGCGCGACCCGCCCCGGGACCGGACCGACGCGGGCGCCGGCGCCGCTCGGAGGTGCCGCGGGACCCGGCGCGCAAAAAGCAGGGACGCGCTAGCCCAGACGAAAGCTAGACGAAACCGGTTATATATCAGGCAACATAAATGATTCATTTCTTCTCCGGGCTCGCCTCCGCCCGTTGAGGGAAAATGATGCTCTCCGGCCCACCTCACGCCTCACACTTCGCCTCACCTCCGACCGTCCGACCGTCCGGGGGAGAGGGCGCTTACTCGCGGCGCTTCGCGGCGGCGTGGGCCGTCGCCGCCTTGTCGAAGTCGCGCATGTGGTCCCCGATGAACGGGTTCTCCGCGTCGCGCGGGAGCTCGGCGAACGCGTGGTTCACGTCGCGGTGGTGGGACTCGTCGGCGAGCATGTGGCGGAGGCACTCGGCCCAGCTCGCGTCGTCGTCGAGCTTCCAGTAGGACTTGGCGATGTCCGGCGCGTCGAGGCCGGCCCAGGCACCGTGCAGCCGCGTGCCTGGCGTCGCCGCCTTCTCGACGAGGTTCGCGTAGGTCATGACCGCCGTCTCCTCGAGGTAGCCCACGAAGCGGTGCATCGCGCGCGGGCTCGCCGCGTACGTCGCGCAGAGGAGCGGCGTCATCGTGAACTGCGCGGCGACGACGAGCGCCCGCGTCGCGGGCGACGCCTCGAACATCTTCATGCAGACGAGCAGGTGCATGCGCTCGTTCTCCGCCTCCTCGAGGAACGTGAAGATGGCGCCGTGGTCGCGCTTCAGCTCGCGGAGCGAGTAGAAGTGGCGGAAGCCCGCGGCGACGAAGCCGGGCACGCCCGCGAACGACTCGAGGATGATGAGGCGCCACGCGACGGAGCTCGGCGACGGGTCCGCGTGGTCGTAGCCCGTGATGAAGTTGAAGCCGTGGTAGAGCACGTTCATGAAGCCCTTCGTGGCGTAGTCGGACGCGGTGACGGGCGCGTGCGACGTCGCCGTCACGCGGCCGAGCTCCTCCTCGCTCCAGATGTGGTTCGTCTGCCGCCACGCGTGGTCCGCGACCGTCGTCTCCGCGAACGGCGCGGACGACGCGGCCGCCGCGGCCGGCGGCGTCGGGTCCTGGAGCGACGGCGTCGCCGCCGGCGCGTCGATCGCCATCGGCGTCGACAGCAAGAAGTCGCCGATGAGCGGCGTCGCGGCGCGCGTGCTGGCCGGGCGCACTGCATCGGTGGCGATGGGCGTCGACAGCATCCAGTCGCCGATCATCGGCGTCGCGGCGCGCGCGCTGCTAGCCGCGCGCGTTGCAAGCGAGTGGTGCCGGCCAACCGTCGGCGTCGCGGCGCGCGCGCTTGTTCTCATTGCGCGCGTTGCAAGCGAGAGGTGCTGGCGGCGTAGGAGTTGTGCATTGCGGATGAGAAGCATGTTGCGGTGAGCTGCTGGCGCTGCACGACGACGAGCGCAGCGGTGATTGTGTGTTGGAATGCTTCTCCGAACTCGCCGCCGGCCGAAGATCATCTGACGGTGCCGCACGCGCCGCGCTCTCGGACATCGTCTGCCTTCTACAATATCCCGCGGGGCCGGTTCGCGGCGCGCCGCCTCTCCCGGGGAGGAGGCGGCGACGCGCCGGTCATGGGCGGCCCGGCGGTGCCCCGCTAAGGGCGGGGCAGGCGGTCGGCGATGGACGCCGCGAGGCGCGCGCGCCTCGCGGGCGTGTCGATGAAGCCGTAGGGCGAGAGGAGGACGCTCCCGTTCGGCGTCGCGAGCGTGACGCGGAACGCGCCGGTCATGCCCGCGTCCTCGCCGCCGGCGACGGGCAGGCCCTCGAAGAGCGACGCGAGGAACGCCGACAGCGCGGCGAACTGCGCGCCGAAGAGCGGGTCTCAGCCGCCGCAGTACTCGACGTGGACGGCGTAGCCCGGCGGCGCCGGGGCGCCGGGGAGGGGCGCGTCGCCCGGTCCGAGGCGCAGGAGCACGCGCGCGAGGTCCCGCGCGGTGCCGAGCAACGCGACCTTGAGCAGCGCGACCTTGGCGCCCGGCAGGCTCCCCTCTGCGAGCGCGCCGGACTGCGCGAGCTTGCCGAGGAGGCGCGCCGCCGTCAGCGACGTCGCGCCGAGGTCCTCGAGCCGCGCGTCCGGGGGCACGGCGTCGACGCCGAGGAGCCCCGCGACGACGGCCGCGACGTCGGCCTCGAGCGCGGCGCGCGCGTCGACGACGGCCGGCGGCGGCGGCGCGCGCCGCGCGGGCGCCGCTTCGCGCCGGAGCTTCGCGAGCTCCGCGGCCGCGTCGGAGCGGCCCGGCGCGACGGCGCGCCGGAGCTCCGACTCGGCCTCGCGGCGCGCGGCGTCGAAGAGCGGGTGCGTGAGGTAGCGCTCGCCCGCCGACGGCAGCACGACGACGACGCGGCTCTTCGGGCCGAGCCGCCGCGCGACGCGCCGCGCGACGCAGAGCGCCGCGCCCGAGCTCGGCCCCGCGAGCACGCCCGCGGTCAGGCCGAGGTCCCGCGCGGCGTCGAGCGCGTCGCCGAGCCTGGGCAGCAAAAGAGAGATTCAACTTCCCTTCGACGTGAGTGTTCCGCGCGCGCGCGATCCGAAAAAAGCATCCACGCTTCGAGAGCGCTCCGAAAGATGATCGCTCGTCCAAAAGTCAGCCGAAACGAGTGGAAATCGGCCGAGAAAGGAGCCTTTGAAGTTGGGAATTTCGCTCTCTTTTGCTGCCCTGCGCCGAGCGCCGCGGCCTCGTAGGCGTCCGGCACGAACTTGCTTGGCGCGGCCTCGCCCGCGGCGGCGACGAACGCGAGCGGGACGCCCGCGCCGATGCCCGTGACGCCGTGGCCGTTATGGTGCTGGCCGCCGCTGAGCACCCGCGACAGCTCGGGCTCGACGACGATTATCTCCGGCGGCGGCGCGGCGCCCGCGGCCGCCGCGGCCTCGCGGAGCGCGCGGCCGACGCCGGCCGCCGTGCCGCCCGTGCCTAACACACGCGTCGGTAACAATATTTCATCGGTCAACATCTCTCGAACATCGTCGCGGATACGGGACGCCGGCCCGCGCCCGCGCCGACGACGACGGCGTCGAGCCGCCCGCCGCACTGGCGCCAGATCTCCGGACCCGTGGCCGCGTAGTGGCTCCGCTCGTTCGCCGGGTTCGCGAACTGGCCGCAGAAGAAGGCGCCGTCGATGGCGGCGCAGGCGCGCTCCGCGAGCGCGAGCATGCCCTCGGTGCCGTCGGCGACCTCGGAGAGGAGCACGGCGCCGCCGTAGGCCTTGATCAGCGCGTAGCGCTCGACGTTGGGGCCCAGCCGCGGCATGACGACGACGCAGCCGTAGCCGCGCGCGGCGGCGACCATGGCGAGCGCGACGCCCGTGTTGCCGGACGTCGCGTCGACGAGCGTCGCGCCGGGCCGCAGCGAACCGTCGCGCTCGGCCGCGAGGACGATCTCGAGCGCCGCGCGGTCCTTGACGGAGCCGCCGGGGTTGAGGAACTCGAGCTTGCCGAGGACCTCGCCGCACTCGGCGGACGCGGCGTCGAGGCGCAGGAGCGGCGTGTTGCCGACGAGCTCGACGATGCTCGACGCGATGCTCGGCCCCTCGAGCGCCGCGAGCCGCGCGCGCAGGCGCGCGTTCTCCGCGGCGAGGTCGTCGGCCATCGCTTGCGGCGTTGGTGCTAGCTAGCGCGTCGCAGCGCTGGTTTTAGAGCTCGGTTGCGGCGTCGGTGCTAGCTAGCCCGTCGCAGCGCTGGTTTTAGAGCTGCCATCGTCGCCTGCAAGTCGCCTGCAATGTGGGTGCAAACCACTTCTCCACAAGCTTCAGCACCCGGTCTTGGCTGGCCCTGGATCGCAGAGGCAGCGCCCGACACTTCCAGACGTGCAATCGCGCTTGACACCGCTCGCAGACGTCGCGGCGCATCGCAAAAACCACACCGACACAAGGACGACCATGGGCGGCATGGCGGAACCGACCGCGGAGGCCATCGGCGACGTGCAAGCGGCTTTCAAAGCGGACCCCGCCGTGGCCATGTGCTGCTACAAGGCCAAGAGCGTGCTCGTCGAGGGCCTCTGCACGAGCCTGTCGTTCCCGAACACGCCCGAGCACGGGCCCTACCCCGTCGACGAGCCGCCGATGATGCCCGGCGGCAAGGACGCGGGCCCGAACCCGATGGATTTGTGCCTCGGCGCGCTCGGCACGTGCCAGGAGATCGCGTACAAGGCCTACGCGACGGCCATGGGCATCCCGCTCCGGTCCGTGGCCTGCGAGCTGAGCGGCGACCTGGACCTCGCCGGCTTCCTCGGCGTGGACCCGGACGCGCCGCGCGGCTTCACGAAGATCGCCGGCACGGTCACGATCGACGCCGACGCGACGGAGGAGCAGCTCGCGATGCTCAAGGGCGCCGTCGACGGCCACTGCCCCATGTGCGACTTCCTCGTCGGCACGTGCTCCATGACGCTCACGACCGTCGTCGCGAGCCCCGAGGGCCTCGACGCGCCGAAAGACGAGAACCTCACGGCCGAGGCCGTCGGCGACCTCCAGGCCGCGCTCGGCGCGGACCGGTCCGCGGGCAAGGCCGTCTACAAGTCGTCGTCGAAGCTCGAGGCGGGCCTCAAGACGACGCTGTCCTTCCCGAACACGCCGCACCACGGGCCCTACGTCGTCGACGAGCCCGAGTCGATGCCCGGCGGCCAGAACCTCGGGCCGAACCCGCTCGACCTCCTCCTCGGGTCCCTCGCCACGTGCCAGGACATCTCCTACAAGGCCTACGCGACGGCCATGGGCATCCAGCTCTTCAAGATCGAGACGGACATCGAGGGCGACTGCGACCTCCGCGGCTTCCTTGGCGTCGACCCGGCCGTCCGCGCGGGCTTCCAGGCGATCCGCGGCACGGTCAAGCTCTACACGACCGCGTCCGAGGACCAGGTCAAGATGCTCAAGGGCGCCGTCGACGCCCACTGCCCCATGTGCGCGACGGTCACGAACAAGGGCGGCCCGGAGATCGCGCTCGTCAAGAAGGCGTCCGACTGAGCCGTGCGCAGGGTCCCAGGGAGGGGTGTTTTTGGCCTCATCTTAGTATGCGGCGGGGGGCGGTCGTGCCGCGGTCCCTAGGCGCCCTTGCTCTTCTTCGCGCGGGCGACGTAGTCCGCGACCTCGTCGCGGCGCGACTCGAAGAGCCGCGAGTCGACGGTGTCGGCCGCGAGGAAGCGGTAGAGGTTGACCGTGCGCTTCTGGCCGTAGCGGCGCACGCGGCCGATGGCCTGGGTCTCGCAGGCCATGTAGGTCTGGAGCTTGTCGACGTGGAGCGGGTGGACGAAGATCGCGTGGTTCGCGGTCGTGAGGTTCGCGCCGGACGCGGACTCGTTGTGGAGCTCGAGGAGGAGGACGCGCGGGTCGTCCTTCGCGAGGGTCTCGGCCTGGAAGGCCGTCATGGCGTTCATCATCTGGTGCGCGGAGCCCTTGATCTTGAGCGTCTTGATCCCCGAGTCGTTGAGCACGCCGTCGACCTTGGCGAGGAGGTCCGCGAACTGGACGAAGACGAGGACGCGCTCGTCGCCCGGCAGGGACTTGACGAGGTCGACGATCTGGGCGAGCTTGGCGCCGTGGGGCGCCGCGACGGTCGCGCCGTCGTCCGCGGCGAACGCCGCGCAGGGCACGACGGAGTGGAGCCGCACGGGCGCCTTGCAGCCGGGCACGGGGCAGGCCTCGCGCGCCGCCGCGAGTTTCAGCGCGTCGACGTCGCCCGCGTGGCCGCAGCAGCTGAGGAGCGCGAACTTGGCGAGGTCCAGTTTCGCGCCCGTCGCGTCGCACGTGAGGCCCTTGCGCTTCGCGGCGCGCGCGATGCCGCGGAAGAAGCGGAGGGACCGCATGCGGCCGACGAACTCCTTGTTGAGCGCGCGGAGCTCGTAGACCTGGTTCCGCAGCGCCCACATGAGCTCCTTGAGCGTCGCGGCGCGCTCCGCGCGCTTGGGCTCGGACTCGCCGGCGACGACGGGCTCCGGGAACACGAGCGCGTCGATCTTGTGGTGGTAGGACACGTCCTCGATGTACTTGGCGCGGTCCTTCTCGTCGACCTTCTTCTTGGCCTTCTTCTTGGGCTTCTTCTTCTTCTTGGGCGCGTCCGAGTCGTCGTCCGAGGCGTCGTCGTCCGAGTCGTCGGCCGCGGCGGGCTTCGCGAGGGAGCAGTTCGGGCTCTTCGCCGCGTCCTGCTTCGCCTCGTCGACGATGGCCAGGAGCTTCGCCGACGCCTCGGCGTCGCCGTAGCCGCCCGCGAGCTCGTCCGCGAGCTCGCGCATGTGCTTGTGGCCGCAGACGCGGTCGGCCGCCTTCCGCTTCTTGCCCGCGGCCGAGCCGCCGACGTCCTCGGCGTACCACATGCCCGTCGCCGAGTCGAACTTGTCGAAGGCGTCGAGGCAGGGCTTCGACTTGACCGTCGGCCCGCTCATGGGCCGCGCGGCGTCCCAGCGGCGGAGCTCGCCCTCGAGGCGGTACGCCGCGGCGACCTCGCGGCGGATCTGGTTCGCGCACTCGTCGAGCTCGGCCTCGCGGCGCGCCACCACCAAGTCGCAGGCGCCGACGACGGTCGCCGGCGCGCCCTTGGCGCCGCCGTCGAGCGTCGAGTACGCGCAGCGCTTGAGCAGCGCCTCGTGCGCGTCGCTGGAGCCCTCCAAGGCCTCGCGGAGCCGCGCCTCGCGGTCGCTCCGCGCGGAGCCCGCGCGGCCCCGGCCCGCGTGTTTCGAGGTTTGCATCTCGAGGGCGCGCAGGTGGTGCTCGAGCTCGAGGTAGACCGCGCGCTCCGCGGACGGCAGGTCGACGCTGCGGACGTGCTCGACGAAGGGGATCTCGTCGATCTCCGCGACGTTCTGGCGCACGAAGCGGTTCACGAAGGCCTGGGCGAGGTCGCGGCGCCGCGCGTGCCAGGACTCGGACCGGTTCTCCATGAACTCGTGGAACATCTCCGATTTCGAGAGCTCCTTGTGCGCGTCGGCGCGCGCGACGGTGCCCTTCTTCGTGAGCTGCACGGGGTCCGCGGCGCCGAGGTGGACGCCGAGGAAGGCGGCGATGGACTTGACGTCGTCGAAGCTGTCGATGGGCGGCGTGCCGGAGAGCACCCAGGACGACCGCGCCTTGATCGCGTGGATCGTCGGCACGTCGCGCGCCTCGAGGTACGTGTACTCGTCGACGACTTTCCGCGCGAAGTGGAAGAGCTGGAGCGGCGGCGCCTGGAGCTTCTTCCACGCGTCCTTCTTCGGCTTCTTGACCTCCTCCTCCTCGGACTCGGAGTCCTCGTCGTCCATGGGCTCGTCGTCGTCGGCCGCGTCGGGCATGGGCTCGTCGGGCTTCTCCGCCTTCTTCTTCTTGGGCGCGGCCGTCTTCTCGCGGGCGCCGCGCAGGGGCGCCGCGTCCTTGTAGGCCTGCTTCTTCGACGTGTTGACGGCGATGGTGACCTCGTCGCGCGCCTTGTCGGCCTTGCGCGCCTTCCGGAGCGCGTCGGGCCCCTCGGCCTGGAGGAGGCCCACGTAGCGCTCGACGTTGGCGATGGCCTTGGCGTGGACCTCCTGGAAGTGGCGGCCGCCCTTCTTGGGCAGCTTGTGCACCGCCGCGAACTCCGCCAAATGGTCGTAGAACGCGTCCGTGCGGAACGCGGAAACGGCCACGAACACAATGTCCGCGGCGAGCATCTTGGCGACGGTCAGCTTCTTGAGGTCGAGCATGGTCGCGATGGTGATGACGTTGTACTTCTTCGCCGCGGCGCCGCCGAGGAACTTCTTGAGCTCCGACGGCCACTGCGCCATCAAATGCTTCGGGACCACGATGAGCGTCGCCTTGCAGGGGATGGCCTTGGGCGCCCCGTCGGCGGCGACGTGGTAGGCCGGCAGGGCCGGGGGCTCGTCGGTCTTCGTCTCGTCGATCAAGGCGAGCGTGATGGCCGTCTTGCCGTAGCCGACGGCGTCCGCGAGCACGCCGCCGCGGACCGTCGTGGGCACGCGGACGCGCGCCTCCGCGCGCCAGCCCAGCGCGCTGAGCGTGTCGTCGACGACCTCCTCCTCGATGAAGGTCTCGCCGCGCTCCATGGCGAGCATCCAGGTCAGGGACCGGAGCTGCTCGGGCCGGAGCGACGCGCCGGACGCGACGAACGACGCGGGCTGCGCGGCTTCGACGTCGCCGCGGTTCGACGTGAGGCCGAAGGGCCGGTTCGGCGCGCGCTCGCGCTGGAACGTGGGCTCGCCGGGGACGACGCGCCACTCGAGCACCGTGTCGCCCTCGCGGCGCGCGTGGACGCGCGCGGGCAGCGACGCGAACGCGCGCGCGCAGAGCGCGCGCGCGTTCACCGCGACGCGCAATTCTCCTTTCCCGCCCTTGGAGTCGAGGCGCGCCTGCATGGCGAAGGTCGACGGCCGGTGCTTGAGGGCGCGCTCGTAGACGCCCGCGCTGTAGGGGTCCTCGACGGCGATGAACGTCGTCGACCGCTTGCCCGCCTCCTTGGCCCACTCCAAGGTGGGCGGCGTGGGCGCGCAGACCGCGCAGCACGTGCCCGTCTTCGCGAGGGCGTCGGCGAAGACCTCGACGTGGGCCGCGGAGGACCAGGCCCCCAACGCCCCGGGGAGCTCGAGGCGCGGCGTCACGAAGCCGATCTCGCGCGACGTTTGCGTGGCTACCACGCCGCACGCGCCCAATTTCGCGGCCGCGAGGGGCGCCCAGGCGTCGCGCGCGGCCTTGGGCGACCAGACGCCGCCGAGCGTCGCCAGGTCGTCGCCGACGGGCACGGCGCACTGGAGCACGGCCAAGGCGTCGCGCGGCGACGCCGTCGACAGGTCGACGGCGCCGGAGAGCGACGCCTCGACCTTGGCGACGACGCCGTCGCGGCCCGCGGCGGCCTCGAGGGACGCGCCGGGCAGGGCGCACCAGACGGGCGCGACGGCGTCCACGGACCGCGACAGCTCGGCCTTCTTGAAGTTGACGCCGTCGCCGGCGACGGGCGGCTTCCACTTCACGTCCAACCGCGCGACGATGGACGCGCGCTGCTCCGAGAGCTTGAGCTTGCGCCAGTCCAACGCGAAGACGTAGCCATCGTTCTCGGGCTTGCCCACGGGCTCGGACTCGAGGAAGAAGTAGACGTCGCCGCCGCGCCGCTTGTGGAGCGAGCCGAGCGCCGCGGAGCACTTGGGCAGCGCGTCGTAGGTGCCGGCGACGGACGCGTCGCCCTCCACGGTGATGACGGAGTGGCGCTTCGAGCCCACGGAGCCGTCCTCCATGGCGAAGGTCGACTCGAAGGTGTCGATGAGGTCGCCGCCGTGCGAGATCGTGACGTTCGAAGACGCGCCGCCGGGCCCGTGCGCGGACCACGCGACGGAAAGTAACCCGCCTTCCGGCGACGTCGCGCCGCGGAGCACGGGCGTCTTGAAGGCGTCGCGCAGGGCGCCCTTGCCCGGCGGCGCGTCCGCGTAGACGAGCCACTCGGGGCTGCCGTCGCCGACGCGGAGCTCCGCGGTGAATTTGCCCGCGGCGTCCGCGAAGGTCGCCTTCCAGTCGTCGCCGCGCGCGACGCCGGCCTGGCGCAGCTCCGTGCCGTCGAGGTCCGCGACGTGGTCGAGCCACGCGTCGAGGATCGAGTCGTCGACGCCGTCCGCGCCGGCGACGGCCTTCTCGAGCGCCGCGCGGCCGACGCCCGCGAGGACGACGGACCCCGGCAGGGCCTTGGCCAGCGCCTTCTCGAAGGCGCGGGGCTCGGACCGGGGCGTGTCGTCGGGCGCGAAGTAGTGCTCGGGCTTGCCCGCGCAGTTCTCGCACGCGGTGTGGCCCGACTTCTCGCAGCGGAGGATCCGCGCGTCGGAGTTGGAATTCCGCGACTCGCAGATGCAGCGGCGCATGGTCCGGATGCCCGCGTGCCGCAACGCGCCGTAGGTGACGGGCGTGCCGGCCTCGAAGAGGGGCGACGCGACGTCGTCGAGCGCGCCCATGGGCAGCGCGCGCGGCGCGGCCATGGCCGACTCCTTGACGGCGACCGCGGCCTCGTCTTCTTGGCCTTCTTGGCCGCCCGTCTTCGCCTTCTTGGCCGCGGTCTCGGACGCGAGGCCCATGTTCTCCAGGCTCTCCATGGGCAGCACGAGGAGCGCGGCCAGCAGAGCGGAGCCGACGACGGTCGTCGACATCGCGTTGCCGGAGAGCGACGTGAGGTTGTCCTCGGACTCGCGCGTCAACAGCAGGTCGTCGATGGGGATGCCCTGGAGCGCCAGGGTCTCGACGCCAATCACGGGCCGGCCCTGGTTCGTCACGTAGGCGCAGAGCGACGGCGTGAGGCACGGGCAGATGCCGAGCTTGGAGTTCGTCGGGTTCGACCGGTCGACGTTCTGCGACAGGTCCCAGACCGACGTCTTGAAGGACGCGTCGACCTTCTTCTGCACGAGGCGCATGTAGTCGATGTCGATGGAGTCGAGCACGCGCTCCGTCTGCGCGTGCGCCCAGTCGCGCCACGCGAAGTCGGGCAGGCTCGCGTTGTTCGTGCCGTGGGACCAGTTCGTCACGGGCCGCTTCTGGCCGAGCTTCTCCTCGCCGCGGACGCGCGCGTGGCGCGCCTCGCACTTCTCCCAGGGCACGTCGTTCTTGTTCCGCGACACGTGCTTCAGGTCCGCGCGCGCCGCGGAGACGCGCGGGTCGTCGGGCGCGAGCATGAACGCCTCGAGGGACGCCGACGCCGCCCGGCGCATCTTGGCCAATTTCTCCTCCCAGGCGTCGAGGACGCCGGGCCCGCAGCGCTCGTGGGCGACGGCGAGGAGGTAGCCGCGCGTCCGCGTCTGCGGGAGGTAGAAGTGCTTCGTGTCGAGGCGCGAGTGGCGCGCGTGGTACTTGATGTCGGCGAAGTTCTTGATCATGCCGCCCCAGGGCGCGCCGCAGACGTTCTCGAGGAGCACGAGCGTGGGCCGCGCGCGCTGGACCCACTCGTGCATGCCGTAGAACGTCTGGCCGGATTCGCCGCCCTGGTCGAGCGTCTTCTTGTGGTCGTTGAGGTTCGAGTAGTCGACGCAGGACGTGCCGGCGATGAGCACGTCGAAGTGGTCCCGGTCCTGGGGCACGTCCTCCAACGCGCCAAAGGCCGTGTGCGCGCGCTTGTTGCCGAGCTCGCGGACGTCGCGGAAGAGGAGCGGCGGCGCGAAGTTGCGCTGAATATAAGCCTGCTTGAAGGGCTCGACCTCGCTCGAGAAGATGTGCTCCACGGGGAAGGGCGACCCGTGCTGGGCCTCGCAGGCCTGGGACGTGAGGTCCATCGCGAGGATCGGCGCCTCCGTGCCGGAGCACATCGTCGCGACGCGGAGCGGCCGGTCCATGGACTTGGCGAGCTCGCCGATCTCGGGGAAGCGCCGCACGATGTCGGCGAAGATGTCGTGGGGGCGGCTGATGACGGGCAGGTCGTTGTCGAGGTCCGCGGAGAACTTCTCGTCGTCGTCGCCGGCCTTCTTTTTGCGGGAGGGCGTCTTCGCGCTCTTCATCATCACGTCAAAGGCGCTGCCCGTCGACGACTTGCTCTTGCGCTTCTTCGAGGTCGACGGCGACGCCTCCTCGTCGTCGTCGTCGGCGGCGGGGGCCGCCTTGGGCTTGAACGCGGGCGGCACGGGCTTGATCGGCCACTTGAGCTCCTTCTCCTCCGCCGAGAGCTCGACGGGCGCCGCGACGGTGTCGCTGTCGACGACCATGGCCGGGTCCACGGCCTGCTTCTTGCGCGGCGCGGCGCGCTTCGCCGCGGGCTTCTTCGCCTTCTTCTTCGTCTCGAAGATGCCGTCGCTCTCGGACGACTCGTCGTCGTCGTCGTCGTCGTCGTCGTCGCTCGACGCGTCGTCGTCGCTCGCGCGGCCCGTCGCGACGAAGTCGTCGTCGTCGGACGACGCCGCGGGCTTCTTGGCGCGCGCGGGGCGCTTCTTGGGGGCCTGCGCGGGGGGGGAGGTTTCGGGAGGGGCGCGTCCGGCGTCCGGCGACGCACCCGCTCCTCCTCCTCATCGTCGTCGGAGCCCGGCGCCTCGGAGTAGTCCTTGCGCGCCGTCGTGCGCAGGCGCGGCGACGACCGCGAGTTCGGCGCCTCCTGGAGCTCCGCGACGCGCGGCTTCGTCGGCGTCGGCGTCGCCGCGCGCTCCGGCGACGGCTTCTTGTTCTCGTCGCAGGCCGCGGCGGGCGCGGGCGACGGCGCCGCGTCCTTCTTGGGCTTCTTCGAGAACATGGCGGTGATGGGCACCGCGGCCTTGGTCACGGACGCCTTCTTCTTGGGCGGCATGCTGCCTGGCTTCGGCGACGCAGCGTGCGCGTCGTCTGTCGCGGCGCGATGGGCTGTTGTCGCAACTCTTGTGGCTGACGGAGCTCTCCGCAGGCCTTCGCGCCGGACCGTGGGGTCGCGTGTGGCGGCTGGGGCGCGCGCGCGAGTCTACGTCGAGGCAGGGCGAGGCTCTCCCAGCTGAGTTCGAACTTCGCGCCTCGTCGAAGTGCCCGCCTTGAGGTTTGCTTGGCGGAATCCAGTCTGACCTGGAGGCTACTGCTCTACCTCGTCCTCCGGCAACTACTGCAAGCAGTCCACACTCTCCAGATCCACTTTAACGCCTCTACATTTTGATCTTCGCGTTGAGGTCGAGCTGGGCGAAGACGGAGAGGAGCGCGTTCGCGCACTGCGCGCCCGACGACGCGACGGCCGGGACGCCGATGCCCGCGGTCGTCGAGTCGCCGCAGCGGAAGTAGCCCTCGAGCGGCGTCGTCACCTTGGGGAACTCCACGTCGCCCCCCGCGGCGATGGCGGGCCCGTAGTTGCCCCGGTGGCGGTTGAGGTAGCGCGCGTGCGTCAGCGGACTCGCGATCTGCGTGACGACGGCCGCCTCGAGCGCGGCGGGCGCGCGCTTCGCGATGGCGTCGAAGACGGGCTGGGCCCGCTGCTCCTTGAAGGCGCGATATTCCGGCGAGTCGTTGCGCCCGCTCGCCGTCTCGAAGGCGGCCCAGGGCTCGTAGGGCTCGTTGCCCGCGCCGTACGCGTGGATCACGTGGTAGCCCTCGGGCGCGAGCGACGGGTCGAGCTTCGACGGCACGGACACCACCACCACTTTCCCCGGCGCGTCGATGGGGCCGTCCCAGGTCGGCCCGACGACCGTCCACTGGGGCGGCGCGTCGTCCGGGATCGCGTGCGCCGGGACGCCCATGTGGACATGCATGAAACTTTTGCACAGCGGCACGTCCTTCAAAAGCCGGTCCCGCTCCTCGTCGAAGGCCTCGGAGACGCCGCGGTCCACGAGGTCGAAGGTGTTCTTCAGGTCCGCGTTCGACACCACGGCCTCCGTCGCGAAGATCCTGCCCTTTCTCGTTTCCACCCCTACCGCTCTGCCGCCCTCCACCACCACCTTCTCCACGCGCGTGCTCCGCCGCGCGTCGCAGCCCTCGCGCTTCGTGACGCCGCGCACGAGCGCGTCGATGAGGCCCTTGGACCCGCCCACGGGGAAGTCCATGACCGCGCCCTCGCGGTAAAAGTCCTCGACCATGTAGGCCATGACGGCCGTCAGCGTGCCCTTGGCGGGCAAACCCTGCAACAGGAAGGCGATGAGGTCGAGGTAATTGCGGAGAAACGGGTCGTCGACGCGAAAGGGCGAGTCCGGGCTCTCCATGTCGAAGGGCGCGAGGATCGTCGACGAGTCTTTCAGCACGGCGAGGAGCGGCCCCGGGTACTTGAGACCGAGCGTCGCGAGCAGCCCTAAATCGCCGCGCACGGCCGTCGACGGCAGGCCCATGACGCCCTTGGCCAGCGGCCGCAGCGTCGACGCCAATCTTTCCCAGTCCGCGACGGCCGTCGGCCCGCCGTAGCGCCGGAGGATCTCTAGAAAGTTCTCCGCGCCGATCGACAGCTCGTAGCCCTCGGGCGCCTCCGGTAAATAAGCGCCCCACTTGTCGTAGGTGATCCACTCGGGCTCCTCGCCGACCATCTGGTAGATGTGCTTCAGCGGGTTCGGCGACGCGTCCGGCGACAGGCCGCTGTAGAGCGACGGGCCCGCCTCGAACTTGAACGTCGGCGGAGCTTCCGCGCCCAGCTCCTCGAGCCGCGCGCTCGGGATCGTGGTGCCGTCGAGGCCGACGGCGTACTCGTGCGCGCAGCCGCCGAACTCGTAGTGCGACTCGAGCACGCAGACGCGCTTGCCCGCCGCCGCGAGGAGCCCGGCGCAGGACAGGCCGCCGATGCCGCTGCCGATGACGACGACGTCGTAGGTCTCGTCCGCCGCCGCTTTGAGAGGTTGTCGTCGCGCGACGCGGCGCGACGGCGCGGTGAAGGCTGCGGTTCCAGCGAGCGCCGCGGCGCATATGAGCTGCCGCCACATCAGATGGAGCATCGTGCCCCAGCTCGAGCTGCGGCCTCGCCATCGCCGGGGGTCGCGATCGCCGCGCCTCGCGCCGCCGCGCCGCGGCATATGAGATCGGTTAAGGCAGAGCGTGGGCGCGTGGGGGTCGCTTGGTGACCGCAGGCGTCGGCGTCGTCGGGACGCGCGCGAGGGGCGGGCTCGATGACCCGCGGGCGTCGGCGTCGCGGAGACGCGCGCGAGGCCCTGAGGGGCGCGGGCTCAGAGGATCGCGGCCAGCGGCGCGAGGAGCGCGACGAGCGCGAGCAGCCGCTGGAGCTTCTTGTCCGCGCGGAGGCGCGCGAGCAGCTTGCGCGCGGGCGCGAGGAGGCGCCGGAGCGGGCCGGCCTTGGGCGCCGCGGCGACCGCGGCCTTCGCCGGGGCCGGGAGCGCCGGGACGGGCGCGCCGCGGGGCACGGGCGCCGGCGCGGCGAGGGGGAGCACCTTCGCCGGCATGGTCGGCGCCGCCGTCGGCGGCGCCGCGGTCGTCGCGAGGACCGCGAGCGCGGCGAGCGCGAGGAGCGCGAACGCGCGCGCGGTCTTCTTCTTGCCGGCGTTCGCCGGCGCGGCCGCGGACCCCGGCGCGCGGGCCCAGCGCCAGACGAGGTGGGGGCTGTCCCAGACCAGGGCCCGGGGCGTGCCCGCGCTCGACGCCGAGTCGTAGGGATCGGAGCCGGTGTCCGAGAACGGCGGCAGGTCGCCGCTCGGCGCGGCCGCGGGCGTGATCGACGGCGTCGCGATGACCGTGTCCGCGTTGACGAGGAGCGTGTCCGCGAGCTTGTAGAGCGGCGTCGCGCGCGCGCGCGCCGCCGCGACGGCGCGCGTCCGCGGCGTGCCGTCGGCGCCGAACGCGCCGCGGAGCTCGTCGACGGCGCGCACGGGCGACGCGCTCGCGCGGCGCTTCTTGCCGGCGCTCACCGGCGCGTCGCGGTTCGTGCCGTTGATGGCCGCCAGGGGCTTGCGCTTGACGACGGCCTCCTCCTCGACGAGCTTCTTGAGCGCGCGCGGCGACGCGTCCGTCGCCGACGCCTCGATGGCCTTGGCCGCCTCGGACGGGAGCGCGGGCGACCACGCGGGCACGGCCTTGGCGACGGGGGCCGCCTTCGAGGCCGACGCGCCGCCGCCGACGAGCGGCACGGGCGCGACGAAGGAGACGCTCTTCGCCGCCGGCTGGGCCGGCGCGGGCGAGAACTGGACCTTGGGCAGGATCTGGCGCGGCGTGGCGACCGGCGCGGTTTGTGCCTCGTTGACTGACGTCTCGGCCGCGTTGAAAGAGGACACCTCCTCAGCCAACGTCGGCGGAGCGAGCGCAACCGCAGCCATCGAGTAGCCTTTTGCGCCACTCAAGCAACCGACTTTTTGATGCGCCTCAAGCAAGCTTTATTGAAGTGTGACATTCTGAAACAGGCTGCCCCGACTCTCGACGGCCGTGACATCCGGAACCATGGCCGCCCGCGCGCTCGTCGCGCTGCTCGCCGTGGACGTCGCGTCGGCCTGCTGGACGTTGGACCTCGGCCACAACCTGAACCCCGGCAGCGCCCACGCGACCTGCCCCGGCGTGCCCAACGGCCAGGTCTGCGCGCCGGACGGGTCCTCTAATTATCATTTTTGGGACGGCGCGTACCACAACGGCATCTTCCGGGGCGTCTTCCAGACGAACCAGTGCTCCAACGACAAGTGGGGCTACTGCCCGCTCTGCGACCCGCCCCAGTACCTCGTCTACGCGAACCATTCAGCGAACTGCGTCAACCAGACGGTCCCCGCGCCGCAGTACGACCCCAAGGACGGGCCCCACGGCGCGCAGCTCCGGGGCCGCGTCGGCATGACCCTCGCCGGCGTAAACATCTACGGCCCGGAGGAGGCGGGCTTCGGCTTCGGGCCGAACCCGATGCCCTGCGAGCGGACCGCGCGGCGATTCGACCGGTTTCCCGTCGACGAGCCGAGAAGTGTGTTCTTAACCCGCGCGCTCGCCCAGGCACGGACGGCACGGGCTACTGCTACGCGGGCGTCGACGTGCCGACGTGCGAGTCCGCGCTCGACATCATGTGCTCCGCGACGGGCTCCAAGGTCGTCCACGAGCTCATGCTCGACTCCTGCGGCGGCCACGCCTTCCCCTGTGAGTGCGCGCGCGCGATCGTCGCCCCCCCCTGAAACCGCTCCCCGCAGACCACTACCACAACGACAACGCGTGCGACTACGACCACTCGCTCAAGCAGCACAGCGTGCTCATCGGCATCGCGCTCGACGGCCACGGCATCTACGGCCTCTACGAGTCCTACAACGAGACCTCGGAGGAGCAGGTCACGCCCGACGATTTAGACGCGTGCAACGGCCACACGCACGGCGTCCCCGCGAACGCGACCTACGGCGTCGACGAGGCCGCGGTCTACGCGCGTCGCCCCGCGTCCGCGAAACCACCGCTTCTCCTTCTTACGCCCGCGCCGCGCAGCACTACCACACGACGTCCTGGGCGCCCTACACGGTCGGCTGCTTCGGCCCCGTCGAGTCCGTCGACGAGTGCAAGAGCCTCTACCAGGGCGACGAGGTCGAGACCGAGGGCCTCGACGTCGGCAAGTGCGGCGCGACGCCGGCGCTTCTTCGGGCGCGCGCACCGCCCGCGGACGCGCGGCGCCGCAGGCACGGGCATCTACCCGATCTACACGCCGGAGTCGCCCGAGGGCTACTGCTACGACGCGGACTGCCCGTGCTTCGAGAAGAGCAACGACCGCTACGGCCGCAACTCGAACCTGACGGTCGCGGAGTGCTCCTGCTACAACGTCTGCGACGAGGTCTCGAACACGGACTGCGGCAGCGTCTCCTGCGACGCGATGCTCGCGTCGGGCGACTTCCACTGCGCCGACGACTTCTGCCCGACCTGCCCCAAGAAGAACTGGTGCGACAAGTCCTGCGGCTTCGGCGCGTGCGCGGACCCCGTCGTCGCGGACATCGCCGAGCGCCGCCTCAAGCGCCTCTTCGCCTAGGACGGCGCGCGCGGGCGCACACGCGACGCTTTTTATGGACTTGAAGGCCGAGCTGAAGTGAAGGCGTCGAGCAGCAGCGCCGATTGCAGCTATGGAGTCTAATTGGATCGCGCGTCGCGGCGCGTCGCCGCCACGCATCGCACCGCATCGCTCGCCAGCGCTCGCGCTGTTCGCATTGCTCCTCGGCACGACCGCGGCTTTCCGCGCGACGGCGCCGCGCCGCGCCGCGACTGCAACGGTGCCATCACAGCGCCGCGCCGCGACACCACGGCGCCGCGCCGCGACACCACGACGCCGCGCCGCGACGGTGCTCCGCGACACGGTGG